GGTATACAGTCTACAGTATTTGCTTTGCCATTTAATTGTAACTTGTACTTTTGTCATACATATATGGTTTCATTGAGATACCAACTTCAAATGGTATGTCATCATGTAAAATATATGAAGCCACTTTGCAAACTAAACGATCAATTCATAGTCATTTATATGCAACTTTTGTGCCTGGACTCTGAAGAAAAACTAAACATTATGAAGCCACTAAGTAAAGACAGTGTCATTGGCTGATTTGAACCACATTCAGTATATACCTGAGAGGCTGTTAGAAGTCTTTCTATTGTTTGTGATATTGTCCTCACACCCAGCTGCTTGTCTTTGATCAGAATACAACGGTTTTCTCACAGCTGGTATAAGAACCAGTGGAGTGAGGGCATTGAGCTGAACTAGGGGCCGTGATTTCAACCAGGCTCGGATAGAAGGAAACTTCCTGTGAGCTCAAACGAAAGGTAAAATCTGTGAGCTAATGGCAGAGTTAATGTTATGGATGGGCAAGCGTTTAAATATCATTACCTGTGATTGAGGAGAAGCCTGTAGGGACTGTGTGTGTATAATTATAGGATAGTATATAGGAGTGGTGGTAATAGATGCACACTGTGGATGCACATGGCACATGTTAAGGCTGGTGAGGGGTTATCTGGAGTTTAAACGCACAGTGTCAGTCCTGGATTAACTCTACCTGACCAGTGTATCTTGTTGTTGGAACAAATATCTAAGGTAAGCTTGTGTTTTTACATGTGGGTGATTAGAGGTGTATTATTAGGCTCATTTGACAAAGGGTAAATACAGTACAAGAAAAGAAAAAAGTTTCATTTCTTATATTCTCGTCAATGTTTAAGGCCCTGTGGCATTAACATGGAGAAAATACATGAACAGAGGAGAAACAAAACCAAAACAGACATGTGACATTATATGAATCAGACATATCTTGCATCCACAACACAGAGAAGACATAGGGCAAATAGGGGCTAAGACTTCCTGCCTGGTACCATATACCCAGGATGAGTAATTCTATTATTTATGGGTATTGTTGAGGTATACAAGTTAAATATAGGTGCCCAGTCATAGAAATCCATATTAGAATTGGTTTCCTTAGAGTGGTGTAACAATTTAATTACATCTGTAACATATTAGTTTTATATGGGACTAACATGTTTCATAGAAAATTTCTATTTGGAATTTTATTACCCAGAACTTAAAATAGAAAGCTGACATAGTGCATGACGTGCAGGTGTTTCCCCATCGCACCTTGAATGGGAAAATTCACCAGTCATGCAAACAACAAACTTTTTGTTACTAGATGTCTTACTTGTCTGGGCATGTGACACAAAGGAATTCGGTGCACAGTCAGCGGTATATATGTATTTCTTCATTTGTATGTGAAGAGAAAAGGCAGAAAGCTGTTAATACAATTAATGGTTGAGTTCTGTTTCATCTCATTCCCATCTCAGGTAGGTAAGTAATTCATTAATAGAGAACAATGGACAGCTGTGTGGTAGGTGGATTTTATTACCTGTACTTTACCTGCTGTTGAGGGCAGTTAAATATCGTTAAATATGTGAGGAATTCAGGTGCAATTAACTATTGGGTGGGAACTGTTTAAACAAAGAGGAAACAGCAAACAGTTTAGATTGATTCAGGGTTTTCAAAACAGGAACAGGAGAGAGCATGCTGGGGAACCACTTTGTGCTAATCCAGTCCACAGGTACACAGTGTAATTAAGACATTTCAGCCAGGTTGATAGAAACCAAGTGGGGAAAATATTATTAGAAACAGCTGTTTGTGGTCCTTTATGTGATACTAATCTCTGAGCATTGATTGGCAGTGGAAGAGCAGTGTGCCATTAGCCAACATTTCAAGGTATATTTGAATCGGAATGTCAATAATTGTGCAGCTAAGCACAAGAAAATGTAACCCCCAAAGTGTACTTGTTTGTGAATTATAACTGAATATATGAACATCGGAGAGAAGAGGTATTTCATGTTATCTTAAGGACTCTGTGTTTTGGTGGCAGTTATGACCTGTGGGGGTGGACAGGTATTTTGAATTTAAGATTTGTGACAATATTTCTCTGGTGAAAATTGTGTCAACTGAGCTGCATTGTGTGACTCATGCTCTGTTTGGGCACGCAGCGTTGTTATCACTGGCATCTAAATTCTTCCAAGCAGGTAGGCAAAGAAACTGTTTTAGGCTTTATTGCGAATGTTTGCCACTTGATTTCACCTGAAATGATAGGTGGGGTCAGTGTTGATAGGGTTCAGGAAACATTGGCTTGCTGAAAACAGAGCGCTCCATTCACCAAGTGCTGCTGAGTGCAGTCCTTACAAAAACTGAAATTGTAAGTTTATTTGATTGTTGTATAAGGATTGAATGCCGATTGAATAATGTCAAACTTTCCCTAGACGCTACCCTTTTGAATTCGATAAGTTGAGAAGTGTGACCCCAAACATACCTGTAATCTGCTATGAGTGCCTATTGCTAATACATTGAAGGGGATCTAGACACTAAGGTATGCAGCAAGTGTGGGCATGAATTGAAATGATATTTGTGGGGGGTTTTTTATGTCGGAAAAATTTTTGGTTGTGTTTCTGTTTATCTGTTATTTCCCTCAGTTGCAAGAAGATGCAGGTAATATATTTTTATGTGATTTTGTGAGGAGAAATGTTATTTGAAGTATGTGTCAGTTTAGACGTCAAGCATTTATTTATAGATATTGAAATTAAAAAAAAATGTTTGTCATTTACCTGTCACAGTGAAAAAATAGGTGTATGAAAAAAATTTAGAAACTGAGTCACACTTTGTCCCCTGCAGATCTTGGATGTAATCAAGTGTTAGTGACAGTGCTTGCTTTGAACCAATATCATTATCACAATTATTATCCAATCTTGTCGAGAAAGGGGACAACATTTTCTCACCATTATCTGAGCATGCTTCTGACCCTGGGCAATGCACTTGATTGATGTACTAATAGTTTGGGGCCCCAGATACACACAGGTGAGAAGACACAAGTTCCTGTGCCTGGCTTCATGGGTCAGGTAAATGGAGTTGTTTCAATACCTTGGGGGAAATGACAGTTTTGATCTGATGATAGTGGAGAAACTTCCGTCACACATAGATGAGGAGACACAGGTTTCTGCACCAGTGTTGGAATAAGTGGACAGGCTCAGTACCTGGGGGGAAAGAGGAAAGTTCTTCAGCACGTGGGAAAGAAACCTCAGTCATTGAATTTGGTAGCGAAAACCATTTCGGTCTTTGTGTCACTGTCTGTTCTCCATTACTTCTCCTTACAGTAGTGATTACAGGGTCTGGTGAGCCTGTGCATGGGTCATGGGAGGATCTGTGTACAAATACTGCCTGCTGCCACCTGAACACAGCAAGGGACATGGTATAGAATAGAACTAGATAGGCAGAGTTAGGGATCAAAGTGGCGTCCATTTAAATTGTGTAGTTAAGATTAAAGCTGGAGTTGTCCTGTATGTGGATATAGTTTACCTGGTGCCTTTCATGACAGGGGATAATATTGGGTAGTTTTATCTGATCATGGCATACCTGAATGATGAGGTTATCAGTTAAGGAGAAAGGTTCACATACCTGGCTGGTATATTTATGGATATTGCACATGATGTTTGTGCTGACTGATAATTGATTGATTTTTAGGTCAAAATTGATCACATGCCAAATGTTGTGACTGTTGTAGTGTATGTTCTTGTTGTTATTACCAGTATTTGGATTTTGAAGACATATTTTTCTTAAATTGTATTAAGTTGAATCTTGATGTCAATTTTAAACTTTTTGTTGCTTTGTCACGGACAAATTAGTAATGGTATTTGTTGATTATCCAGAGAAGTAGCATTAAATTTTATTTAATTGTTAATTTTGTATTGGTTTCTTAAGACATCTTTATATGTTTTTTCTTTCTCTCTATTTTTTTTAGATGAGAGACAAAGAGAGGTAACCAAAGGACAGAAAGAAAAAGACGAGAGATAGAGAATAACCATTACCAAGATGGCGGCTGGCAAGCTGCACATGAGCGATTACTTAGACTTGGAGAAGCCGTTATTTCGGTCAAGTTCATTTCCCAGGGTGAAGCAGGAGGCTACCCACTGTGTCCACTGTGGTCAGTTCCATGACGACCAGACGGCCCATCTGTATGACTACCACCAGGCAGTGGACGAGGACTTGATATGTCACATATGTCTCCAGCCACTGGTCAATCCTATGGACACTCGATGTGGGCACACATTCTGCTCAGAGTGCATAAAACATTATCTGAAAATACAGAAAATATGTCCCCTAGATAGACTGACTTTAACCAGCAAGGATGTGCAGCCAGCAAGTATTATGGTCAAAAGGTGGGTTATCCTCCAAAAAGGGTGTTTGAACATTATTTTCACAAGTTTATTTCAACCTTTCCATGAGTGGCTATTTCCTAATGAGTTCAATATAGTGTGTTGTAAAAATTTTACACAAAAGGCTTGATTGAGGTGCAAACGTTTTAAATATATCAAAGATAATATGATAGTAAAAAGGATTTGCAAAGTTTGCAAAAAAAGTTCATTGTTAACTAGTAGGCACACTATATAAATCTTTTGGGGGTTTTCCTAGCTTGTAAAATGCATTAGAAGTACTCAATTACTAATTGATGTCCAATATCCTGTTGCCATAGTGATGGTCACTTATTTTTGAGCAGGATGCTTTGCATTGATTAGCGGCTTAATGGCCCTATTTTCCTAGGAAACCAGATTTCCAATTGCCAATATAACACTGGTCAGTGTCCATGGCTGGACTGATGGCTAGGAGGGAATTTACTTAGGTAGTTGTGCTTATGACTTGGAATAATAACCAACATGGGTGAATGTGTGGTTGTGTACTCATTCCTTGACCTAAAAAATACCACTGTAGTGTATAAAGTCCATTGGTGTTTTGTAATTTTTTTCTTTTCTTTCTTTTTTTTTTTTTGTCCCTTTAAAATTTTAAGTCAGCCAAATTGATAGTGCTCTGTTGTTCAGTCACTTTTAATGGCTACTGGATATTTAACTTAAATTGTGACAAGTTACAATACTTCCATTTAAAAAGAAAATATAAGCAAAATTTATCAGTTATGCTGACAGTGTATAAATGATAACAATATTGAAGTGTAATAAGACCTGATAATAGAACAAACAAGTCAGGACTCGGAGATATTAATATCCCCTATCTCAGTTGATTTCAAAAGTCAACAGGTATTTTCATATAAACTCCCCACACGATAGGAAGATAATATTGAAATAAATTTGTTGACTTTTTGATTTAATAACAGGCCATACACACACTAACAAAGGTGTACCAATTAGTCCATGTGTAAAGTTTAAACAAAATATTTGTCTTGTAGCAGAATTGTTCAGTGAGAAAGAACTGTGTGCCTTACCTGCCATGAGCAGTGTTCATTTTAGTAATGATTAGTAATGTAGAAGACCCCAAGGATTAATTAGTCATAATGGTGTAGGAAAGGATGCTAGGCTCTGAATGGGTATCGACAATACCAATATCACAGAGAGTAAGGTGACCTGAGAGTCGAGATCAATATAAGATCAGCCTCTTAATGGTGACTCAGAGGGCATTTTGTTTTACCTATGGTAATATTAATATTATCATTACCAAAGTTTAGGTTTTTAAGAAAACTTTCCCATACCTTTCAGTCAACACATGCATGTGTAAGTGTCAAGCAATATGATTACACTCTGGTATTGGTATATTGGTGCACTGCACTTACCTGTCTAATTAAAAAGCAATGAAGCCTCATGAGTCATATATATGTGTGTGTCATGCAGAAAAGGTTTAATCTGTCATGATCTGTTATTATGTGGATATTAGCAGGGGCATAATTTTACTGCAGCAGAAGAAAAACTGCGCTTAATTTTTACATATGAGATTGAAAAAATTATAAGTGCTGGATCAGCGTAGGATTATTGGTTCAGGAAAGTTGAAGTATTGTGACAAGGGATCTGATTACCATGTCGCTGTATTTGATTAAAAGTTGGAGGATATTAAAATGTGTGCTTGTGATTGACTGCCACAAGTGGAAGTGAAACTTTGATACAAAAGGAAATATTTGAAATTGAATTGGGGCATAATGAAGCCTAGTTTTCTATACCAGGTATACATATATGTTTCTATATGCGGGCACCTACCTGTATAAAGTGTATGGTGTCAGGTGTGTGTGATCAGATGCAGGTGAGCCAGGAACTAGGATCAAGATGAGGACTCTGAGAGAAAAGCAGAGCACAGTTAGACAGCTTATGTATAATTTACAGGTACCTCATTGCTTATACAGAGCTGCAAGTGCACTTCAGGATTATTATGCTGCACATTACATATTGGACTGGTTGAGGTTTTTTCAATGCTGACAATAGCTGTGTTAATTTATGTATGAGTCTCATTTTTTTATGTCACCAATGTGGAAGCAACATCAAAATGCTTGTTATCGCTTGATTTAAAAGCATGGCAAAGTAAAGCCTATACAGTGAAGGCAGAAAGGAGAGAATCTTGGCTGTTCTGATGGTGATGTATTGGCAGACATGATGTGATAAATGCTGCTTGACAAAAGACATATGAAAGCGTACACGTCATGAACTTCCGTGATAGGATCTGTAGGATGTAATGTAAACTCTAGTAATAATCTCTGTCCTCTGGTAGCCCCTCAGTACCACTTGACACCAAGGAGATTGTGATAACTTCACTCAGTTATAAAGGAGAAAGAGTAATTCATGACAATCAGAAAGATCACACACAGTGTGGTTTTATTATTTTGACTGGTTTTCCATATGGATATTTTTGATTTTGGTAAAATGTCAAACAAGAAAGTCATGTAGGAAATTTAAAATGACAAGCAGCCTTACAGGTATACCTGGACACTTCCCATGGTAATAATGCACAGGGCGTGATGTATTAGACTGGGGTGGAGACCATACATCATCAAGACTTAGAAAATCATTTGACCTTTCGAAGTTAACTTGGAAGTTTTCCTGTTACCAATAATAAGAGTGCGGTGGGATGGCTGATTTCTTCATTTATGGTCTTGTTGTTCATTAGGAAAAGTGCTGCAATTGAAAGTTGATTTGGGGCTAGTCAAGTGGGCAAATTGAGCTATCTTCAATGAGTTGACCATCTGTACTGCATCTTCTTGAATATGCCAGTCAGACTGATCACTTCAGCATATACAGGACATTGAAAGGGGAAATTTGAATTTCTGGGAGGCTCTGAAACATTAATTATCCAGGAAGTGATCAGATAATGCATATTTTTTATTAACATATTTTGAAAAAAAAAATAATAACCTCGGCGAAACACAGGTCACCATTGTTAGGGTCAAACGCTGAGTTGTTCCTAAAAAGTTGGTGCTCTGAGGACTTTTATGAAGCAATATTGCTGAGAGTTGTTTCAATGGATCCAGCTGGTTTACAGGAGCTTCCACTGGGGCAGCTTGTGTTAGATCCACACAGGTAAGGCAGGTGATAGGTCAGACTGGATGTGAAGATGTATATCACATGTGATTTTGATGTGTGTTATTTCAAGCATTTTGTTTGGTGATATTAGGATAATGTTTGTTTCTGCTGGTTTAAGCAGACAAAATTGATTGATTACAACAATAGTGATAATGCAAATGCAGTAACAATTAGAGTTTTCTCCAAGCAGTTACAAATATTTGGCAAAAGAAGTCTTTAGATTATTAAAATTTTTTTTTTTTTTGAATTTATCAATACAAAATGTGGCCAGAACAGCAAATGTGTGCTGTCGCCTGTCAGTCTTGAGCATTTGGCCAATTTTGGAGGATTGAAATTTTTATTTCTTTAGGTCTATACAGACAACATGTCCAAAGGACAGTATACATTTTTATGTTTGTAGTCTTTTATTTAATATTTTTGCTAATTATCATTTTGAAACTGATGTGTTATACAACCAAGTTTTTGTAAATATTTTCCTATCTCAAATAAAGTTCTACATAAATGCTTCCAGTCAGAAAACAGATATATCCAATTTTCCATGTTGTCTCTAGGTTCTGGCTAATCGGGAGTGCTATAATGGCTTTGTTCTATATTCTTTTGTTAAAAGCATTCACAGAACTGTACATCCATCACATTAACTTTGTGATATATTCTTGCTTTATTGACAGATATAATAACATGTACTGATGTCTTTATTGTGTCCATTCACCATTCTGACAGGCATGAAATAACACACCAGCCCCAGTCTATTCTAATGCTGAGTTAAAAGATCTTGCTTCATTAAGATTATTTTCTTTTCCTTGAAATTTAGTTCCCCAGTAGAAGCTGAATGTATATAAGCATAAAATTGAATTTTAAAGGAAGAAGGTGACAATATGGATGTTGAAATATATGTGAGAAAAATGCATATTTAATCAGCAAGAAATCTTAAATTTGAATCTAGTTATTGGGAAAATCTAAGTAGTATTTCTTACTAAATTAATGTTTTTTTTTTCTTGTATTTTTTTTTCAAACTGCTTTGTCTTATTTTTCCATTTTATTTTATTATCTCATTAATAAGATTGAAAACGTACCTGCTTAATGTTTTACTCATAAGGAGACTGAAATTTTGATAAAAAATAGGTAAATTTCCCTCAAGTTCCTATGTCCCCAGTACTGAAGATTTTTGAAAAAATAAAATGGTTGGATAAAAATAAAGACAAAAATGAAAGGTCAAAGCAGTTGATTTAAAGTTTTTTAATGGATATTTAGATTACTTCCAGATCTGATCAATAAGTATGTGTTTAAGCAAAGAAAGTTTTAGATCACTTTTCTCCGTGTATTTGCCATCTTCTATTATTGCTGCTATGGATCAATGGCAGGATTTGAACATCCGTTCTCACATACATGCCTCGTCTCCTAGAACAAAGCATTGACATAATACACTACCTGGAGTATTGGCATGCATTGTATAAGCATAACATGCATGCATCCCCCACTTTCCTGGAGAGAACGTGGGAAAATGCACGGGATGATTCTCTCAGATAGTTAACTTGTCCCGTGACGCAAATCTCTCCACAGTATTGAATTTAGAATTTACCATTTTCTGATTTGCCATTGAGGGGTGAAGTGCTCATATTTTGTCATGAGAGCTTATGTCAAAGTTGGAAAGTGACACTACAGATTTGGAATCTAGTTTTAGACCACAATGCTAATTTTGAAAATGGAATAGTAGGCGTTCACGTAAAAGACAAAAGGATAGTATGTTGATATTCAAGAAGACATTCAATAATTACTCAAGGTACTCCAGGCATATTACAAATGAATAACATGTGCTTGTGACCAATGACATTGCTGCTGCTGTTTCATAAATTGTCAACTGGGTAATTTTAATGAATGTCATTTACTCCTAAGGCTTTGAAAAAAAATGCTATGAATCCAGGAACACACAATAACTTGGAGTATAGAAATTGTCATCTCTTTTTAAGACTCCTCGACAAACTCCTTGTAGTGTGTCCCAATGTGGACTACTGTGAAGAGGTGCTGCCCAGGAGTGAGTTGGAAGCACACTTACAGAACAAGTAAGTAAATAACTTTGTGGGGAAAAATAATCAGCATTTAGAGTTTAAAGCATTTTTGTCAAGCAATTTATTTCAATTAATGGAGTTCCTTCCTTAATTTAACAACTTAAAAATAGATGGAGAAAAACATTTGTTGTAGCATGTCATTTTGGATTGTTTGGTTCAGATTCAGTAAAGTGAATAAAGACTTTAGGACAAATATAAAACAGATGCTCTTTAGGAATTGGAATTCCAGTGTTGTGAAATGGATTTGAAAAGCATGCTACATTGTATTAATTTATTCTTCAGATGTCGTGGCGCAGTCACTCGTTGTTTGAAGTCTCGTGCGGGCTGTCCTTTCCAGGGCCCACGCAGTGCCTTACAGTGTCACATGTGGGAGTGCGCTTACAGGGAGGAAGATGGTAATGTCACATATGGCTTTCTATTTATTTCAACTTCCTTTACCCACCCATTAATACCTGCCCACCTAATTTCCTTTTTCTTTTCTTTGCCAAAAAACAAGATGGATTTTGTCTTCATGAATTTGAGTTATTTTCCCCAATATACCTTATAAAACCCTCTTATCTACAAAAAAAAAAAAAAAGGAATAATATATCCTACTTGCCGAACCAAGTTAAGAGTAGGGTAGGTCAAGGAGAAACAAAGTTGTGTTTTAGTAAATAACAAAAAAGAAAAAAAATGCTGTAATATGTTGTTCACTAAGTAAAAATTATGATAATGATTTATTGTGAGATTGAAACTGAAAATGAGATGTTAAATAAGCAGCTTTTGTTTTAATTGTAATCCAGTATACCAGCAGCAACCCCTGATGAAGTAATGCATCAAAGAGCTCTACATTTAGGTCCCTGGATAACTTTCATGTAATTAGGTTAGACAGATGTTTCTCCAGAGAAATGAAGTATGATAGTTCAGAATTAATGCCCTGGTCACAGGATGTGATGATAACAGGGATGTAATAGAATCAGTTCAATTAAGAGGAGAAAAAGGTAGGGTATTGATCAGCTGAAGGTGTCCAAAGCTGTACTCTAAACAGATAGACCATGGGGCTGTTCTTTTGGATACCCTGTCCTGCTCCCTGGAGCTGATCTTTTGGATAGACGTGTCTTTCTCCCTGTATTTATTGATTGGCATATCCCATTGTAAGAAATACAGTCAGTTTTAGCGTCATGGTTTTGCTTCTTTGTTAGGGAGAAAATGATTCAGGAACACAAAAGCATGGGATGTTTACTTTGAATTCACATAGTATGGGCAGGTTGCACTTCATAAGCCAGAGGGCAGAGTAACTGCATCACCAATAATGATGTGAATGCTTTAAAGACAGGGATATAAGAATTCAAAATTAAGGTCTTGCTGCTTGAACCCGAGTCAAATTGCTCTCTCTGGAAAAAAAAAAAAAAAAAAAAAAAAAAAAAAAAAAATGTCCAGCATATATGGAGTTTGTGATGATTTATGCTCTAGATAAAATGTGCACATAAAACAGTTTGTCCCTGGATTAAAATCCCCAATCCAATCAGTTGAACCAATCTTCCAATTTTTGACCTCCTGAGTAACAAGGAGAAATTAAATTTCCGTTATGGTGCAGTTTTACTCTGTATATATAGGACAGCAGCATGCATGGAATTGCTGTGTGCAGCATCTTCAGACTCTATAAATCTTCATTTCAGTCATTTAGTTTCAGCCTCTGAAGCCTCATTAAGTATTTATATTTTTATGGTGAGAAGATCAGGTTTTCTTCTCTGAAAGCCTTGCGGCCTTTTCACATGCAGAATGATGTGTATTCCAAGCTCTGAAGTTTTACGTATTCTGTGTAGACGGAGCATGCAAGGTGTGACATTGATCATCCACAATATATAGAGTGTTGGGGAAAAAGAGCGAGACAAGAACAATGGATCAAGCACTGCATAACATTATGCTGTTTTTAATTGGATTCCTGAAGAATGCACACTCTTGAGACAGCATGAAGTAGAGATGAATAGGAATTAATATTGTTTTGTATATTAATCTCTTTTGTGTTTTCCTTTTTATAATTTACTAATTTTGATATTGTAATATTTCAGAGAACCTTATGGTGCCAGTGATAGAGGGTGAAGTGACCACCCTGGACATCCCCAAGGGCAGCTATGACCTCGGGATCAGCATTGTTGGGGGATGTGATACTCCTCTGGTAAGTGCTTTTCTTACAATAAATTTGTGTACTAATACAAACTTACAAACTTTTTCAGTATAATTTTAGGGTTTGTTTATGAATAAAGAGTATGTATTTGTATACTGGTTGGGGTATAATAAGGATGTAACATAAAAGTGTGTGTGTGTGTGGGGGGGGGGGGGGCAAGAGTGGATTTAAATCTTATTAAGCTATTCCAAAAATTACAGAGAGAATTAGGTTAATCATTTATGAACAGATTTATAGAGATGTTTCAGTAACCCTACTCGTGATGTCTAAAATTCAGGGATGTCATTTTACAAATGATTATATTTGTTCCTGATTTAACACTTTGATATTCTTCTAGATGGCAGTTGTTATCCAGGAAATTTTTCCAGAGGGAGTTGTAGCAAAAGATGGAAGGCTGGCTCAAGGTGATCAGATATTAGAGGTGGGTGTATGAGTGACAGATAGAATGTTTTCAATCTTGCCACTTCTATTAGATAATTTGGTAAGATGCAAAGCAAGACTAGACATTTGGTCTGAGAATTGACATTTTTAAACATAATAGAAGAATCGTGATATCATGCTGGATTATAAAAGCTATTGATGTGACATTAAGATTCCCTTCAATGCGCTTTATTGATTTTTAGAGGCTGCAGCATTAATGCTGTTATTGTGTTTATGAATATAACGGCGATAAAAGCTGACAGTGTAGGGTCTTTGGATGCCTTTTTCCTGATGGTTTTTGTCTGGCATTCTTTGTGATGAAGAATAGTAATAAATGTCTTCTTTTAATTCCTCTTTTTTTGCCACAATGATAATGACAAGGAAATTTTATGATTAATTTATTTTCAGTTTGAAGTAATATGATTATTTTGTTAATATTGTTCATTATTTACCCTATAATAGTTGATGATTGTTCATTATTTACCCTATCATAGGTGAATGGGGAAGACTTGACCCTGGCCACTCATGCTCAGGCCAGGCAGGCACTGAAGACACTCTACCCTATATGTAGGCTAACTGTGTATAGGGAAAAGGCAGAGGAAAGCCAGCCCATTGAAAAAGAAGGTAAAAAAAGAAAAGAAACACGAGTTTGAATTAACACAAAATAAATAGTAATAGTGTACATAAATTTCTAAGAGCCGCCTAGACAATTTGACTTATGATTTTGTAGAATTCGAATTAAATGATGTTTGTTAATGTCTTAAATTAAGAGATCATGTGATGTTCTATGTCGTTTGATATAAAACTGCAAATTTCACTTAGTAATTAATAGGGACATTCTCATATTTTCAGAAATCCTACGAGTTACCCTCAGTAAAAAGCAAGGGAAACAACTAGGCATTAAACTGGTGGGGAAGAAGTAAGTAAATCTTGTTACTTAGTGAAATTCAAATTTTTCATAAAATGCATGTTTTAGTGGTTCCTTGTTCATTTGTAAAAAAGTAAAACATGGTGGTTTTATCTATAACTTTTCTCTCTCCCCCAAGCAGGAGCGGGCCAGGACTGTATATCTTGGAGTTAATTCAGGGCGGTCTAGCTCTCCAAGATGGCCGCTTGAAGCCTGATGACAGAATTTTGGAAATCAATAAAACTGACATGCTTGTTGGAACACAAGAGGAAGCCGCTAAATTGATTCAAGTAAGTGAGACGTCTACTTTTTGGCCCCTAGGCTACAACCAAGATGTATGGATTTTTTTATTTCCACATAATTACATATATATTTCATGAGAGCTGCCCTGTAGTTCAAACTTCTTGACTACTGACAAAATGTTATTTGTGATAAAGGCCACGGCAATTGTCATAAACTTATTAGCATTGGAAAAAAAATTCTTCACCAACCATCATGGATAATCTAACCCTTTACATTTACAGTCGAGTAAAGACAAAGTGACATTTGTTATCTCGCGGAGGACTCGTCCGCAGACTCCTGATCTCATTCGTTCTGCCTCCAAGGACTGTGTAGCTCAAGCCATTGCAGCCTTGGAACAGGAGGCCGACAAATCTGTAGTTAGGAAGCAACCCAAAGAAAAGCTAGTGACAATCACAAAGGTGAATATAGATTTTTAAAATAATTTATTTAAAAGTTCAGAATTCAAGATGTGTTAGATTTTAGACTGTTGTCTCAAGATGGATGGTGCATTCTGATTTGAGAGATTAAGCATAGTTTGTATACTTTCTAAATTTTTTATGCTCTGATACAATAATTTACACTTTTTCCAAAGTAGAAATATTAAGCACCGTTTCCCTTTGAACAACATCAATAGTTACAGTTACTTGTCTTGTGATTCCAGGACTCCTCAGAAAGCCTAGGTATCAGTGTAGCGGGAGGACTGGGCAGCCAGCGGGGGGACGTCCCCATCTACGTGTCTAATGTACAGGCTGGCGGATGCCTAGCCAGGAGCAAACAAGTCAAGGTACACTACATAACTTTTTGTTTGCTTGAAGAAGTGAAATAATCAATCCCCAAGCTTGTATTACTTCTCTACAAGCAGATCAATTCATTTTAATTGCCAGTAATCTGTGTGATATTGTTGCAATGCACTTTGGTGTTACTACCTACTGTTGAAGGAGGATTAGTTTTCATGTCAACATTGCTTTGTGGACAAGATATCTTAATAAGCTCTTCACAATTTTTATGGAATTTTCAAGATTCAAGAGGAAAAGAAGTAATTAATATTTGAACTGAAGCTGTGTCTCCTAATAATTTTAAAATTATTTTAATGCCAGTTTCTTAGCATAGGTCTGCACAGTTGTAGTGCTCTATCATTTGTATATTATCAAGAATGTGTTTTTTTCCCATTGTCAGAAGGGGGACATCTTGGTGTCAATCAATGGCATCAGTCTGATGGACCTGACTCATTCAGAATCGGTGAAGGTGCTAAAAGCTTGTGCTGAGTCCAAGGCTGTGTCCCTGAAGAAGTTTGATGGCACAGAGACCAGTGATGGAGCCCTCAATTTTGCTCCATCCTGGTTGTTCTGGCTCAACTTGCCAAGGTAGGTTTGAAATTTCATCAACTTGACTTAAATATTTGACAAAATAATATTGTATCATAACTTTCACATTCCAATGAAAAAGATAAATTAACTTCAGCATTAGAAATGCCCCCCAAAAAGTAAAAAGTACCATTTTGCTTAATCATGTAAGATCAAAAGAACTTGCTTAAATGTGAAAAATTTAACCTTTAGTCATAACTGTATTTATAATACATTTTCTTTTCTTTGTCAGCATGTGTCAAACAGAAAAAATCATAAGTCTGGAGAAAAGCCAAAGTGGAAGCCTGGGATTGGCCATTGTGGGAGGATGTGATAGTAGTCATGGCAACCAACCTATCTTTGTCAAGTCTGTCGTGTTGAACACACCTGCTGCCAAAGATGGGAGAATCAGGTGAGAAGAAACAAATTGATTTTTTTTTCTGTTATTTAAAGAAGCAATCTGAATACATAATGTGCTGAGGGTACTTTACAAATTTGGACTATACAGATTATGGGTAATGCAATGAATGATACAATATTTTATTACAGCTTGTCAGATGACTTTGAAGTATTGCTTAAAATGAACTGTTCTGTCATTTGTTTTAAATTTATTTGCATATATTCTTTGCATTGCCCTTTATCATCATCCATTGTATTACTGTTATTATTTACAACAATTGGTCTAAGAGTTAAAAACTATTTTGTTTTCAGATGTGGCGACACAATCCTGTCAGTGAATGGTCAGTGCTTACAGAACATGACCCACGCTGGGGCTGTGGGACTGCTCAAGAGTCTGAAGGGGACTGTCACACTGACAGTGGTGTCCTGGCCAGGGACTGTGGTATGACAGGGAGGAGTTTGAAGGGGACTGTCACACTGACAGTGGTGTCCTGGCCAGGGACTGTAGTATGACAGGGAGGAGGAAAAACTAAACTAGACTATGACTGTATGTGTGTTCATATTTTGTATCATGATGACCAGAGAAATGTTTGTCAGCACTGATAAATATTTTATATGCAGACTTTGTGTTTTTGTATATTTAGATACTTTGTTAGCAAGGTGCAGGGCATCTTACAAATGTTTTTTGTTTTTAAAGGGGTTCCCGTTTAAAAGTAATGAAGGCAAGGTGGTTAGCAGGATATTTCACATAACATATATATCCTTATTTTAATTTATTTAGTAATATATACAAGATGCCTTTACAGTGACATCATTACAAAAGTGCAATTCTTCATCTTGATCAGGGTTTTAGCCACCTTAACTCTGCAATATGTTTTGGTTAACAAGTTAAAAGTTATGATATTCAGACAGTTTATATATGGCATTTTATCAGTTTTCTATTTGTTTAAAGAGAGCAAGTTTGGTTCTAGTATGCATATAACAGTGAAAATAATGTATATCACTTTACACATTTTAAAAGTGTATCATTTACCTATGTATCACTATGTTGTTAGTGATTACACAATACAATAATATATATTTTGTTATGAACTTGCCACCTAGCATGGTAATATAGTATTAAGTAAAGTCACAAGTATTTTTACTGTGGTCACCAGCAGGGCTTACAAAGTTAAACCAAATAATGTTTATCTACGTAGCTTAAGAAAGTTAGGGAGTTAAATGTTCATGGGTTATACTGAAAAATGATATTTTGCATCAGGAATTTATATCCGTCAGGAATTTATGGCATGATGCTCACAGACTTGCAGCATATGTATTAGAACCAGTTTATAATTGCATGTTATGTTGTATTATCTGCATTTGATCTTTCTGTTAGGTTCATCTTTGTCTTACAATTTTAGTTTAATTGTTTGTTGGTCTGCCAGACTAGTAGCACAACACAGCAAAGGTACCAAAGGTGTCACGAAGTTAAACATCCTTTTGAACACCACTTGTCACCGACATATAATTATTTTTCATCCTAAAATATGCTGTAAATTATCATCATAAAATTTATTCAAACAGTGGATACGTATGTATGAAATAGAAATTACCAATTTTACCAGGAAAGGGCTGACATTTATTCATTTATTTAGCTAACCCAAACTTTACATCATGCCAGTTTCTTGTGGCATCCATCTATCGCGAGAAATTAATAGAAAAGTTAACTAAAACGTCTGTAATTTTGTGTTAACACTTTGTGAGTTCCATATATGTTATATAAAACTTGGTTTGTGAATGTTTGATTATCTTACCTGCGTTTCTCTCTTTTATTGCAACAGAATTGCTTTATGGGGTCTACATGCAGTGGTAGTTTTTTGTTTAATGCGTCACATGTATCAGTGTAGCATTTTGATGTACTATAAATATTTTTTTTTTAAATATTGTGATGGTTTCACACCTTGTTCCCCTACATTCTTGCCAAAGTATAATTTCAGGGCAGTATATATTAAGTTGCTATGTTTACTCCGTTTTAAAGCACCTGTAAAATAAGTCCTTAATTAAAATGGACATATCGTTAACATTGTATCAACTTCATTTAGTTAAAAAAATTTATTATGTGAAAAGTAGAGCAAGACAACAAAAATATGTAATATGTTGTACATATGTAAATAAAATAACTATATGACTAAAATAATGTTAATTATTTTATCTATTTTATGAGATGAGCATTTAATTGGTAAGTTTAATACTGTATACTATTTCCAAGTTGAAAAAAAAACATTCAAACTAGATTGTTAAGAATGCTGCACAAAAATATCTTATCCAAGAAGAAGCAAAAAATAAGTAATTATCTGTGAAATCTTATAAATTTATCTGGACAAAATGGTGATTAAGTGGAAAAATGGTAGTAGTTAAAAAGGTTTTCAAATGTAAGTTGTTAAAATACAAAATGGAATTTTAACAAAGGTCACCCTTCTTTCATACTGATTTAACAGTACAGTCATGTAGCTGTCAGCATGTGCAGCTGTAAGTTTTCCCATCCTTAAAAAGCACATGCAATTCACTTGTTCCAATAACAAATTATACATTTTGACTACTGGCAATTACAAATATCCTTTGTCAACAAAATGTGAAAATCTAGCGTATTAAAAACTTCAAGGTAATGCATTTTTTACCAACATAACATTATTCTCATTGCACAATAAAACATTTAAAATGGCATACTTCAATATTCTCTCTTTTAAGAAAAAAGTTCTTAAAAAACCACCTTTTGTATGCATGCCAAATACAGATCAGTTTTGTCCGTATTCTTTGACTGTTTTCGTACTGGCTTAGTTGAAAGAAATATCTGTACATGCATATATAAGTAAGTTACATGTATAGCAAAAGCAGTCAGCACCAAGACCCACCATATTCAAAACTGTTGACAAAATCTGACTTACGTTTCTAATTTTTGGGACACTATTGTATTAGTGATGGAGAATTTGGCTTGTAGCTGTTACAAAAAAATAAACGTAAAGCAGGCTTACAGACAAAAATTCTCGGCAGACTTGGATAGAATATACCCTAGCCACTTTGAAAAATGGCTGAAAATTAAATATATTAATTTTGTAATGTGAAGATCAAATGCACACATCACTACAGATCAATGCTCCAGCACAATATTATGCATAGATATTGGACAAGGTATGGGCATGTATGCAGTAAATATTGGTAAAATAATAAAGCATGTTACATCATTTTATGAGAAACATGAGCATGTAAAAATGTGCTCTTAAACATATATGCTAGGCATACATTAAAGTTAAGTAAAATTTAAGACAACGTTTTGTTCAATTGAAAATTTACACACTTGCCATGTAAATAATTACATAAATCTTTATGCAGAGTAAATTTGTCAATATGGGAATGACTGTGCTAGTCAATCATTCTATATCAAAAAGTAAGTGGACATTAAGAATACCAAGTTACACAAATGTAATGGTATTCTAACACCATATTTTAAGCTACCTGTGTAAGACAAAATGTTTTTTGGTGTGCAATTTATTTAAAATCAGTGTAGCCCGAGTTTTAACACTACCTTGAAGCATATCCTCAATATCAAATTACAAACACACCTGCTTATCACATATCAGCTTCAGTGACATTTGATTGAGGTTGCACCTCCGCAATGACAAATATAAGACAGCTCTATGAACTGCATCACATACCCATGTACAGAACCATGGAATCTAGAACACTGGATGAATGAGCATTTGTTTCTGGCACAGTAAAACTTCAATCAAATCTGATATGGAGTGTCAGAGTCTGATAAACATGCATACTGAGATTTGAAAGTGAAGAAGTTGGCACCCATAAGACCTAAAACTCAAAGTTAATCAGAGCGGCTCAACTGCTTTCCCTTCTTTCACTACTGGGGGTGTATTGTCATTGATCACAACATAGGGAACACTGTTTCTGTACAGAATATATCGCTGTACTATGAAGATCATGTCAAAGATGATTGTCAACAACCCAAGACCAAACTTTGTAGGATCTGCAAATATTTCATCCCAATCATCTGAAAGAGACAAGTAATTTGTCAGTCATCAAATAAATTTGGTGGATTAAGAAATTGAGTTGAAATTGTGTGAGAAATGCATAACCAGCATTTTCTACTCACTCATTATCTTCATTTAACCAACTACTTTTTTCTTTAACCACAAAGAGGACAAATTAATCAAGATTTGACTGCTGCAGTACTATCTTCCTGCAATGACATGCTCTAACATACCATTGTTAAATGACACCATAACCATCTGTAGAATACTGAGAACTCCACCTATTATGTCAAACCACACTGAAAATATGTTGAACCCCTCACAGCTCTTCCTCCTGTAGTTTAGTACAGCCTGTAATAAAGGAAACAAAAATCATCAAAATCCTCATGAAAGATGCCTAAAGAAGTCTGTGAGCAGCATGCATTGAAAATCGAATGAAATTTATCTCTATAAAAGAGAAAGTAGATGAGACTACAAATCCTTACCTTGAAGTTGTCTTTCAACAAGAGTTTTGTACTGAGCACTAATGGTACTTATGCCAAATCAATTAAGTCAATGAATCTTACAAGCCAGTGAACTAAAACTTGAAAACTCAAAAAATCTATATAAAAAAGAAAAAAAAACAACAATCTGGCAATGAAACATTACCTGTGGGACAGACTTGATCAGATTAACTCCAATCTTGATATAAGAGAAGAAATACAGATAAGTCAGCCATTGTATGACACTGGTAATACTAAGAACTAGACCACCTATAGAGAACAGAATACTGCCGGTTACTAGTCCAACACACAGCCAGGAGACTCTCTGACCACCCCGCTGAAAATAGAAAATCACTGCATTTAGGTCAATTTGTTTCCTATCTCTTATAAGACACATTTGTTTTATTTCTTTCAAAATTACATCAAATGTCATGTAATGAGCATGAACAGTGCAGCTTACAATTCCATCTTTTAACAGTACAGTATAATATACATCTGACTACCTGTACATGTAAGGAGACCAATCATGTACTAATTTTTAATACATATATCTCTGCCTGAGAAAATGATACATTTAAATATATTAAAACAATTATAGATCCTGCGACAGATGGAAAATGTTAGCATAAATTTACAGTCCTGCTGAGTAAATGTTCAAATGACAGCCCCTGTACAGTTTGTGTCATATTCCCATCACTATGTTGTACCTCATATATGAGACACTGTACAATTTGCAGTGAAGTCAAAGTCACAGCATGGATGGAGAAGGCAACATCATTGTCCTGCACTGGTATCTCTCCTCTAGGGTGGCTAACAAAATACTCTGACTGAAATAAATAAACAAAATTAGTCCAATTTCCAGACCATTTGTGACACCTTAACTTAATATAGAAAATTTCACCATACCATGTGATTGCAATTGAATAACTATGTTCTGTAAGATGCCCATCCAACCTCTCTGTTGTCCTGCCTACTGCCATTATAATTTTAGTAAAGTGAGTGAGATACATGGCACGAATCTGTTCAATCAGCTGAGAAACGACGTACTAAGTTATGCCATTACCCTCTACCAGGGTGAGTGATAGATTTTTTACAGATATTCACAGATATGTCTCTAGCTAGATAGATGGTCATTTTCAGCTAAACCCACCCTGTTGAGGAATCCCATGTGGGAGCAATTATCTCTGCCCGCGCGCCAAAGACTTTGTACTTGCTCTGCATGAGCTTCGCTTCACAACCATGTGATAACTGCTCCTTACGCAACCAGTCTAAGGCTTTTTTATCTGTCACAGAAGAGCAAGTGATTGAAGTCAGAGTAATTAACTGTCTTGATTGCTGTCACGCAGACTTAGACTGGACCTGCTAAGTGGCAGTGCCTGAGCAGTTATGCAAACGATTATCAGCCATGTAATCAGCCTTGAGATTCCTCAACAGGGTGAGTTCAGCTGTAAATGACTATCTATCTAGCTAGAGACATATCTGTGAATATCTGTAAAAAAATCTATCACTCGCCCTGGTAGAGGGTACTTATGCCATCAAGATTGACTGGAAATTCAACCATAGACACACACAGAAAAATGGAGGTAACAGAAAAACATATTTAGAAATTTGTGTTTCAAACAGATTCTTTGTTGCACCTTAAATTTCAATAAACAACTCTGCTGAGTTTGCTGACTGGACAAATACTTAATTTGATTAAAGAAAAAGTGTATTCGGTAAGGTCGAAATGACCAAGTACTTCAAATAATTCAATGAATGTAATTACCATGTTACTATTCTGCAAAAATGTTTTTACAGCTTCTCTGTACAAAATAGGTAAACAGCATCAAAGATTCAGTCAGGATGCAAAATAAGCTGCTCACCTGTACATTAGCATCCCAGTAGACACAAACATTGAAGAACAGATAGGAGAGATGCCCAATGAAGTTGTATGCCAGGAAGTCAAAACTGAAACCTACAACACTGAAAAAGAAACAAAGCATGTCAGAACTGCTTGCACATGTGGTAAATATTCTTATTTTTAATCAACAACTGAGTCCAAATTTCAGCCAATTAAATCTTGTATGTTCACCTATTCAGATGATAAAACATTGCACAATTAACAATTAACAAAAGGCCAAAATAATTCAGGTAGCACGTAGTTAACAGAATTTCGTGAAATAGATTTTTCATTGTCTCTCGTGTAATGTTGGCAAAGAAGGAAACACCAGTAGTTTCTAAAGAAGCAAAAGGTGTTTTTCACCTATAAGGCAAGGTATTTCAGCCTCTCATCTACAATGACATCTTAACTTCCAAAGCTCACATCCATATGTCAGTCATGTGAAAAACATTTAGTCTCTTTAGAAATTACTTACTTTTTCACCACAAACAGAATTAATTAATTCATTTGTTAACTTAATAAATCTACTCCAAAGATAAGCCTGACAGACTACCTTTTTCTCCTCCAGTTAGTGTAGATCTGGGTGTAGAATGATATGGACCAAGAGGCAAAGTAAAGCCAGCCTATGACTTGATTGATTATCACAAGGTATTTTGAATATACCACTGAGATGTGGATGCCCTGGGATGTGACACTGGAAATAAAGTAACACAAAGACTAAACATATAAAGCAGGAGGGAGGGGGGAGAGGCCCTGCCATCCCTAGACAAGCATACACTTGGCATTAAATTGAATTAGAGACTTTAACATGTACAGCTGTACATTGTATCAGTTATGCATTATTACACAAATGTAATGTAAAACTTTACTACCTGTTATTTCATACAGTTAAATGCTTACCTAACATCTAGACTTCTTATCCCTAGAACCAACTTCCCTGGGTTAACTCCAGTGATATTCAGCTGTTTGGCCTCAGATATGTTGGCAATGAATGTGATATTACTTAAAGGCTTGATTATTTCAACTGACTGGTATTCCAAAGGCTGTTTATCCTCCAGATATGTGAAATATATCTGAAAGTCTCTATGAGCAGGTTCACTGGAATTAGTAGAGCAATATGTTTAAAAAATCTACAAAAAACAATAAAAGAGTGCTGTAATAAGTACATGTACCAACCATCAAGAAAACAGTACAAAATGTTTGGAAAAATATTAATATTTTTTCAAAACTTCCCAAGAATTTGGTCTTCTTTTCTTTTCCATGAAAAAAAAGTAAGATAATAGCAATTTACTTCCAATAAATATCTTTTAAAAAATTTAACATGTTGGCAAAAGAATACTGTAAGGGTCTCACACCTGAGGTTCAGGTAAACTTTTTCAGATGAATGGACCTCCAGCTGCACCTTCCCTTCAGAGAATGTCAAAGCAATAGGTTTCCTAACAGGACCTGCAACATAGACAATTGTGATTCACTAAATACATGTATTGTACAGTAGCAACATGATTTCATGTTAATTTGAGGAACGTGAAGAATACGAAACAGCTTGTGTATCAATTTAGATATGCACAATTCTAAAACTACTTGCGCAAGCAGTGTATACAAGCAATGCAAGTGGACTGGACAAATTTCAAACCTACACATGTCGTTTGTCGTGAGTGCTGTACGTGTGGAAGGATGGACAACAACACAAAATTACCTGTATGCCAGCAGTGTATACCAACAATGCAAGTGGCTATCACAACCAAACTGCATTGCAAATCTACTAAATTCGCCATCACAGTATATGGAACTTCTCTGTTGTTCTGTGAGCAAAGAACCAAGAGGCTGGAGCCTGGAGGTATCAAAGAATTCCTTGGAAGTATCGACTAATACTAGTTAATGGCCATAGCCAAACATGCTTGCACATTACTCCAGCGCGAGAGACTTCTACTGGCAAAATTTCGTTGTCTCTTCTGAACAATAAGGAGTCAACATCACGAGGAATAGTGCCATGGTCTACTGCCATGCAATGTACAACACACCGTACACAATGTACAAAATTCTTACAAGTTGTGATTATGAGTCACAAGCATCTTTCAAACGCCGTGACCCAGTTCATTTCTTGAGTGTCAACTGAGTTTTCTTTTTATACATGGCCCACAATGCATTGCTAAAAGGTCATTTTAGGGCTGAGGTGAAGATGGAAATAGCTTTGCTCTTTGTTCTTTTTTTACTTATTACTTGTAAGGATTCATGAATTTACGAGTTTATTTTTAAAGCAGATTTTGTTTTAGATTTACTCAGTAAAATACATGTAGCCCTGTGCTGCCCTTTTGATTATAAAGTCACATGACTGGAATTCTCCTTCGCTCTCTGATACGGAAGAGACGACTTGCCGAGGTTTAGATGAGAAACGTAGATGAACAATTTACTGTCAGTTAAATGACTTGTAGTTTTGTTGGGTATGTTTCGCTGTTTTATTCATTATTATTCACTTATAATTTACACGGCAGTATTGCACTTTTAAAATTGGTTTCACTTCACTAATATTGTGAACATTATAAGTTTATAGTTTCACTTTCAGCTTGGTAAAAGAAAACCAAATTTCGTGGTCAAATGTCTATTATTATGAATTGTGCTGTATATGTTAGTATATTGAATTGCACAGTCTCTACAGTTGGTTGATTATAAAATAAACATGCACAATGACTGCAGGGAACACAGTATCTGAATACCGGTGTAACGAAACTGTAACATAAGGTCCGCCCTCCATATAATAGTTAAAGATTAGCCTGCCCTAAGCTGGTCAAAGTCTAAGGCGAGGCTGACCTGTACAAATGAATGGGAAGCAGACTTTATCATGGGGGACTCTCTGCCACGTTACACCGGGTACAGAAATTATATATATATATATATATATATATATATATATATATATATATATATATTTTTTTTTTGTAGTGGTTGTATTGTAGTTGAGACTCATGATTAACTCAGTGCAGAAGCAAATGAAAATCTCAACTACAATACAACCACTACAAAAAAAAAAAAACGTTACACCGGGTACAGAAATTATATATATATATATATATATATATATATATTTTTTTTTTTGTAGTGGTTGTTTTGTAGTTGAGACTCATGATTAACCCAGTGTAAAATATGTATTTTTCAGATTAAATAACAAGCTGTTAGTATGAGTGAACAACTAAAAAACACTCTTGATTGGGACTGGACTGCGACTGTCCCTCTGCAGCACCTGTCTTTAATCATGCACAGCATCCTACCCCCAGCACACCTGAAGCCAAATCCACACCTGGAAGCACAGGTACAAGAGTTGATCAGCACTAAGACAACAGACAGCTCATTGGAGTTGATTGGCAATGCATTTGAAGGGATAATCTTTCCAACCCTCTGCCGCAGATCAGATGGTAAAGTGTTTATTGATAACCCATCCTCACCCCTGTCGTTGGTGGTGTTGAATGATCGTTCCGTTGGGAAAGAAGGTGGCGACAGACAGCTCTATGCTCATTTCCAGAACAATGGAGTACATCCTGGTTTTGTGAGGTTAACCAAGCTGGATCCAGACAGATTCACGGCACCAGTAGCAGGCAATCATTTTGTGTCCGCAGAGAAGATATCTGACATGCGTATCAACTCCCATGTCTCTCAAGATAAGCAGTGCCTTGTATATTCAGACCATACTGAGCTGGATCTACAGCAGATTCTTAATCGCCAGACGATTGCATTCCCTTGTCCTGAGTGGCCTTCAGAAGCAGAAGCATGGAGGAAGCGACAAAGAAAGTCAAAATGGCCATCACAAGATCTGGTAGAAGAAATTGTGAAGAGTGGCTGCCATGTAATCCCAGGTGCCCATCCTAGCAGCAAAAACAGAGAAATTGAGTGGGGATTTTCATTTGCTTCTGCACAGAAGAAGCTGGCACAGACATTCACACCAAGTCAGCGCCATTGTTTCCTGCTCTTCAAAATGTTGTACTATGACTACCTGGACCTGCCCACTTTCATCACCCCTGACCACCTGCTAACCCTGTTTCTGTGGGAGTGTGAGAAGATTCCACAAGAGGAGTGGGCGGGTCTCAACATAGCGACCATATTCCTGGCCCTGATTGATAAGCTACTGTATGCTGTGATAGAAGGAGAGTTGTCAGATTATTTCATTCCAGAGTATAACACCATTGATTTTATTCCTGAAGATTTTGAGTTTCATCTGATGGATAAGATCAGCCGATTGCGGCAGGATCCTCTGACACATTTGCTGAACTTTGCTAGCATCTACAGATTTTCGTTCTCACCCTCAGAAGAGTGGAAGACTTTATCCAAACCACTTCTAGAAGACATACAGGAGCTGCATGAGGATCAGAGTAGGTCTACAGTAAAGGCTTTCCTGCCATTTGCAGACAAATTAGCAGCTTGTTTCTTAAAAGAAACCAAGGATAAGGAAGTGTTGCATGCCTACCAGTTTATTGCTTCAGTGTTTTTGCAGGGAAGACTCCGTGTTTTGGATCTTTTCTCAAGTGCACATCAGCGTGTTGGAGAAGACCTAAACCTTTGCATACAGTTAATGGAACTCAGCAAACGAGAATTTCCGGACAACAAGCACATGTATAGTCTTTTGGGGAACCTTGGTTGTATGTATCACAGTCTGGCAAACAGGTCACCTGCTGGATCAGAAAAAAGAGAGAAGATGTTAAAGAAAGCAGAAGAGCAGTTTGGTCTAGCCTTAGCCTGTCCAGAAGCCTCTGGTGCCACTAGAATGGACTACTGCAACTTCCTCTGCAATGCCAGAGGACAGTATGTTGATGCCATTCCGGATCTGCTGAGGATTATTGAAGCAGAAAAGGAAAGGCCACAATCTGGAAACGCATATGACAGTGCAGAGGTGGGAAATGTTGATGAAAACCTCCAGTTAGAGATCCAGGCCTCTGAAACAAACAGTGTAACAGTATTGTCTGTTATGTATGCTTTTTACATGCTCATCAAGGCTTACCTGCAAATAGGAGAAGATGAACCTGCCTTGGCAACCCTTAAAGAGTTCCATGATTGTGTCCATGGAATCCTTAGAGAGAAGATTACAGATGTTGAAGAAATTGCCATTTCATTTAATCTTCTTGGATACAGTTACATGAGGCTGGCTGACAAGGATGGTTATAAGAAAGCAGAAGCTGCCTTTAATATGGCGCTGACATGTAAGCCAAATTATGCATTAGCGGAAGAAAAGAGAGATGAGTGTAAGGCATTAGTATTGTCACTAATTGGACCAGACGAACAGGAAGAAGTCGAGGAAGAAGTTATCCCACACAAAGATGGTGAGCCGGAGCCAGGTGCTCAGTCAAGTGGATGCCAAACTGGGTGCAATAGTGAATCTGCCAATGCTCAACAAGAGGAAGTATTGGATTTAGTTCAAACTCTTCTGGGTGATATGATATATGATCTGGATTAGTTTGCAAACGACAATTAATTCCGCAACATGAAAATAAGGACATGGAAAAAAGGAATGAAGTCAAGTGAAAAAAAAAACAGTGCCATCAGTGACGTACTGCTAAGTACTGAGGTCTTAATTACCAGGGACTGCGACCCATTTTACAAGTATAAAATGTGATTTAGATCACGGGACTGCACATAAATAATTTGTTTCCCTAAATCTTCTAAGTTGTTGTACGTGGCTAATAAGTAGAACATAAAATGTGGAAGTTTTCAATCGATCCAGCCCTTGCAAGCGTGCTTTTTTTCTCCCATTTGTATCAACTTTTGATACCTCGGTCGTTTTCATTCAACATTGAAGTACTCATTCACAATAAAAAGTATCTTTCCGAATTGGAAAATTTTGCTGAAACTTTTCTTCTAAGTGGATTATTATATTTCTTGAGCTTCAGACTTCTGATGAAAACTCTTTTCTACTGTGTTATTGCTATTGTAAAATTGAGATGTTTTGAAAAGCGAAACGAAAGAAGTTGAGCTTTTTGTGCCATTGTGTCCAATAGTTATCTTAGAGGTTACATTTATATGCAGAAAGAAATATCCCCTTGTTTGGGAACATAAGTGATAACGAGAAATTTATTGCTAAATAAATGACATACAAGACTTGTTGAATGTATTTCATTATGTAGAAATTATGTAAAAAAAGAGATAACAAATCTAGCGGTTCAAGATATTTTATTGTAACTTTCAACTTTAAATTACGAACAAAATACATGTACATGAAAGAGTTGTAAGCCTCTGTATCCAAAACTTAAAGTACGATTCTCGGCTATACTCTGTTGTATGTATCAATATAATAACTACTTTCGCGTACCATAGGTCTAACAAGATACCTGGCCGAGCATAAGTATGAATTGAATTTTGAAATAGAATTAAGTCGAAAGATTGTCCTTAACTTAAAAGCCAAAAGTTTTTATCTGTTTTGACAAAAAATAAATCAGTGGTTAAATGTCTCCGATATGAAAACAGTACTTGTCCTTACTAACGAAGAAAGTAAGGACTTATTATTTGTAAAAAAAAAAAAAAAAAAAAAAAAAAACGTTGCCCTGTCGTTTACATGTACATTTTGCCCCGTGTATTAGGCCTACCAGTTTATAGTTAGGCCTACTTATAACAATGTTCATCACAAACATTACTTTATTTGCACGTAGTAGGAGGTGCGTAGCAGGAGGTGATCCAAAATTGTTCAAATATCTCACATATAATTGGAACTCGATGCCAAAAGATATATAAAGGTGCATTTATGTATATATATGTTCATCACGTTTTCTGTACCCCTGCAATTCGGTCAACTGTTAAATCCTTAAAAATTGAAATGAAAGCTCATAAAGTCTACTGATATACGAATTTCTTATTTTTCTTCGCATTTCTAGAAGACGCGGAAATACAGCTTTTGTGTGCACAGGTGCCAATCGCAGGTATTTTGGACAAAGTGAAAAGGTTTAGTAATTTGTCTTTGTCTGAATACAACATGCACGCATTTAAAACTCCGCTAGACCCCCTGAAATACACCCCCGAACACTGCATTTATATTCTGTGTTATTGTGTTTGCTAGACATAATATTGTTTGTGTCAACATCAACATCATTACAGAGGAGTTGTGCATGGACATTATACTTAAATATACCTACTGGCATTTTTTTTTTACAACGAGTGTCATGCAAGTGAGATCGCGTCTTTTTTGTTAACAATGCCTAAAATAGGACGCCTTCATTTACACCTTGGGTTAAAAACTGGTTCATGTACAACGACCTGCAGTTAAGCGAGAGGCGGCGGGACAACGACGCCCACACAAAGAGTGTCTAAACAGGTCTGGTAAGTTGACCAATCTATGGACAATAATCTTTATTTAGGAAGAAACGGAAAATGGTGTTATTGATGTAAGAGTATGTATATAGTTATGTAAAATTCCTTAGGTATATTGTAAGCCGTTGCCAAAAAATCCTTATTTACTGCCTAAAATACATTCTTTTGGGTAACAGATAAATCTTCAGAGGTCAGTGACTAAATTAATTAATATTTATACACATGTCATCTTACCTGTAACGTCATAATTGCGATTTTGGGGTAAAAATTGAAAATCGGTTTCTCAAATTTCTCGTTTACCTGAGCATCCACGAACACCGTTCCAATGCCAATTTAATGACACTATGGAGTACTCCAAAACCCTGCCAGCGATTTTTCTTAAAAGTCTTTGTTCAGATTTTATCGATGATAATGCAAAATAATGCCCCTTTTAATAAAAATCTGTAATTAGGGGCTTCTAACTTCCTAACAAAAACATTAAACCAAAATGACGGCACGGGATTGTAGTCCATACACTCGTGGTCAACTCTGGAAATTTTCGTTATAAAATCTTGTTGAGGAATGAAGTTACGCCCCGCACCGATTGCAATCTCCCCTCAAATGAGAAAGGTGTGAAATTGACGATTAAACTTTTGAGTAGCCTATGCTTATACATTCCAACGAAAAATATAAACGCGGATATTTTATAATTTCGAGGGGATTTTTTTGTTTTAAATCAGCACAGAGAAAAATTCATTATTGAATAAAAAGATGCAGGAAGAACCTCATTTTGGTTTGATAATAAAGGCTTACATTGCCCTTAAATGTTTCTCTAAAGTTTATATGGTATTTGTTTAATTTCAATTATGTACGGCAATTCACATTTGGTTTTACATCTACATCTATCTACCGTATATTTAGAGACCTCGAGTGAGAGTTTTGATGCGAAAGAAAGAAAGCCAAGAAAATCTTTTCTTGTCACCGTCGATATTTATCTGGTGCATACTGACCCTACCTCTTATTGAGCTTGAAAGTCACCTTTATTGGATGGAAATAGGTAGTTATAAGACAATTAAAATTCTACGAGCGTTTCCATAAACATAATGTATATGCTTACCAGAGTAATATACCACTAATACAGCCCAAATATCACTATGGGCTGAAAGAAATACGGGTCCGTGAGCTGATAATGTCCTTTTCAGTAACATTTTTTCATCTTGGATTAAAGTAGAAGTGAAAATGCAACAGGCGAGCGATTCGGGCAACACGTATGGGGAACCCACTCGATTTGAGCACGTCATTGACAGAGTAGGTGAGTAACGGGGAAGTCTGTTATAAGGGTTAAGTTCTATATGAATAGTATTCACGTATGTTGCTAATAAGTTATGTAACAATGTATAAATACAAGTTCTCTCAGGGGGGGGGGGGGCGGCGGGTAATGTTAGGTTTGCCTTATTTGATCGCGATTGGTGTATCGTAGTCTTGAACTCGTATAGTACAGTTTTATATCCTACTCGAGACCATGGGTGTTTTAGTTCAACGTGTGTACGTTGCCTAAATAGTTCTGTGATGTTTATTATAGCGATAACTTCCAAATAAAATGATACTTCATTCAATAGCATTAATAAGAGAAAAGCAAAAGATAAGCTGAAGTTCAAACCACAGATTGGAGAGAGATGATGTCTAAGAGGATAAAATATTTGATGACAGTTTTTTTATAACAAGAAATTTATTTATAATATTAAACCAAGGCTGGCAGGCACGACTTGAACGAGTGCGTTCCACGGTCTGTTACACTCCCATTACTCACAAGTTTAATATTTAGCCAATCAGAAACCTTGGTTGGTTTCAGCCAGATACAACACTCGTCGCCGAGACATACGTGAAAATTACTTGTGTATTGTCTCACCTGCAGTTCGACACTACACTCGTAATATTTCACATACAGCTCGGCGAATCGTATTGTATCTATCACGTTATAACGCTTTTTGAATCGTTGTCCAATTGTACAGGTTTGTTGTATCTAGGGCAGGTCAAAATGGCATTTTATATGGATAAAATAGGGAATTTTCTGTATCCCCCAGTATCTAAAGCCAATTCGCGAGAAGACAAACGAGTTTACAAATGTTTTATTTATGTTGTAATGGTATTTGTGCAATTTCATGCCTCGATTACAATTTACTTTGGAAATGTTGCACTTTGAATTTTAAGGTGGATTTGGGCGTCGACAATTTGCAATCTTTATGCTGATTAACTTTGGAGATTTTATCACGTCAACAACGATCATGGGACCCGTGTTCTTCGGAGCGACGCCACGATGGACGTGTCCTGCATCAAATTGGACAAATGAAACCACGCATGTCCTACTTCCAGATTCCAGCACACAATCGTTAATTATGTATTCCTTCAATGAAACAGCTTTTGGTGACGCGAAGGAAATGCTCCAGCACGACTCGTGCACAGATAACAATGAAGTGTGTTCTGGCTTACAGTACGTTTCAGACTTCACTTCTATTGTGTCTGAGGTAGGTCCCAGGCATGGTGTTTGTGCATATGGTTTTAGAAAAAATTGGTTTCATAATATTATCATCATCATTGAAATAATGATATTTTTATTGAACTCTAAATAATATATTGTCACATTAGTAGCTTACTGCACTTTATGTTTTTATAAAGAATGAATAATTTAAGCAAGTAATATCAAAGAAAAGTATAATGAAATAAATTGGATTCCCTTCCAAGCTTCATGTAATAATAAATACCCATTTAAAAGCTTTATTATGTCCAAAAGCAATTTTGTTTTACTTATTCCTATGAATAAGTATTCACATAATGAATATTTCATAATGATTTTACTAACTTGAACAACTCAACAAAATTCATTAAGTACAACATAAGTACGTGCACTAAAAGCACTCAGAACGCGGACCTCCGCCAAGGCAAATTAATTTTCATCTCGATTAACTTCCAATCAATTAACCAAGTAATTGATTAATTTAATGCTAATTAACTAATTAATTACTATTTTATAAAATTAACCGATTTGGTAATAGTTAATAAATCATCTCCAAAATCTTGCCTTTTTCTGGCCTATCCTGAAAATTTCACCAAATTCCCCCCAATTTTTGCTAACAGATGGACAGACCAAATATAAACAACTAACTATAAACTATTAATTTGTTTTTGAATCTTATCGTTTCTTACTTGGTCCATTCCCAACAGGTTCTGAAAAATTTCATCAGAAGCGTTTCACAACCTTTCCATAATGAGAAACAAACAAAAAGACGAACGGAATTAGGAACTTAACCACAACAATCTTTAAAGGCGTCAACTTGCAAAAGTTGCCTTAGTTTTAATTGAATAAGTCGGATCTGCTGTAAACCACGAAACGTTGTTATCTAGAACTGAAGTAGGTACGTTATCATTTCAGTGGGATTTGATATGTGGTCAGAAGTTTGTTAGTTCTATCATCACAACGCTTCAGATGGCAGGACTTCTCGTAGGAGCATTTGTGATCAGCCAACTCGCAGATTCCTTTGGTCGCAAACCTGTTTGGTATGCAGCTGTCACACTGAGTGGGATTATTAGCTTCTCTAGCACATTCTCTCCGGGTTGGCAGGTGTTTGGAGCCATGAGGTTCTTCACTGCTATGTGCAGCGGCGGTGAGTTTGTATATTCTGATCTTTTAGAGGAGAACTGTTAAAAAACTTTCCATTATTTTCTAAGGAATTTCAAACAGCAAAAAGAGAGAGGTCCTACTACATGGGTGGAGATACAATTTTTTCTTCTTTCAACGAGTTTTATTATGATTGTGTAATCTTACAAACACTGCATGTAAGACGCTATACGTGTTCTGGCATATATCGCTCAGGTTCACAGCGTACATTATTTGACATACATACCGAAAAAAAATACTCGCATTTCACTAAACACTCTCCAGGCATATCTTTTGGGAAGCAACCCCTCCCCCCTCTTCTATTAGCACTACGTGGATGCATACACAAGCAATGCCGCATTTTAAACAATTCAATACCATATTCAATAAGATTAGTGGAAAAAAGGAATTAAAGTAGGTGTTTACGATTTTAGGATTGATTATTGTGAACTTCGTATGGGCTTTGGAGTTTTGTGGAACAAAATGGCGTACATTAAATGGCGCCATTGGTCTCTGGGTTGTTGGGGTGCTGCTCCTTACCCTGTTAGCCTATACCATCAGGGACTGGAAAATTATCATGTACATCACGTCACTTACTCCTTCTTTGATCTCGTGGTCGTTCTTTAGGTAAGTCAGTTTGTAAATTAAAGTTATCACAGTGACACTAATGTATGTAGGCTACTGTTTTTTGGTATTTAAATGTCTAAATCAAAACTAACAAATATCTAAATGTGCTTCATCTTGCTTTTTTCCTACATTAATTAGGTTGTGGGTAAATGTATTTTAAATTAGCTATGTCAGAATTTCCGACTTTTGACAATATTGTTATTCTCACAAAAATAGAAATACTTTAAAATACAATCATAATACCATTCAGTGCCGAAATGAAGGTAAGAGCATACGCAAGCGATAACATATTGTACGACGTGGTTTTCTTCTTTATATTATTCCTTCGGCATGTTAGGATGGTTTTTGAGTTGGCCTGAACCGTAAAAAATATTGATAACGCAACTCGATATTTGTTTTTAAATAACTATTGGAAGCTTATTAACGTATTCTAAAGGTTCCTGCCTGAAAGTCCACGATGGCTAGCAATGAAGGGCCGACTTGAAGAAGCTAAATGCATACTTGACGCAATCGCAAAGAATAACAAGAAGGAGCCAGTGGAAATGTCACAAATACAGAAAGCGGTCGAGGTACACAGATACTTCCAAGTGTGGTGGTAATAAAAATTATGAATAAGGTCTTAAAGGTCTAGAATGCATATACTGATATCGGTGAGAGAATTCAATTGTATACATCGATATTATTAGCTAATTCAATGTGTTAAATTTTGTCAGGAAGAGAAGCAACAAGCCGCCGAGGAGAGGCAATATAGTTTTTGGGATTTGTTTCGAACACCACAGCTGAGTCGTTATAACGTGGTTCTAATGTTCATTTGGTAAGTATACCCTTTTCATACAGTTTACTAGTCTAAAACCTCGGGTATCTTTGCGCTAAGCTAATTTGTTGGGATCTGAAGATGACAGCCGGGGTTGTTTTAGACCTTCTGGTACATAATTCGTCACCTTCTTCTTATTCACTGGTTATTTTTAGGTGATTTTGCTACCTTTGTACGAAATGCGACGTTAAGTTATTTAGGTTGATTTCTAACTGCGCTTAGGTTTGTGCAGTCTTCCACATATTACGGACTGTCTTTGAACGTAAACAATATGCCTGGCAACGTTTATACCAACACAGCGCTGCTTGCGGTGGTGGATCTACCGGTAGCACTTTCAACACTCTATTTAAATAATAGGTGAGTGCAAAAGCGAAATGTTAATAGATTGACACGAATTAAGGGTCAAAAACCGTATCAATTATTTTGATATATAGTCTCAAAATAATGTACATGCATAGATAAGAAAATGGAATCTTTTAGACAAAGTGTGCAAAACCGTTCGCAAAACTGTGATGTGTGAGTTCTTAGGTTTTAGATTTTGAGTCACCTTCGGAAAAGTTGGGGAAAATTGCAAATGCTGTGTTTTTACATAAAGGTCAAATGTGCATTAGATGCTTTTAATTGTTAAATAATGGGTATTATATTTGCTTTTAGGGTAGGGCGACGTATTACCTACTTTGGTTTTATGCTCGTGGGAGGATGTGCTATTTTTTCTGTGATGTTCATCGCAATTTCAGGTATGGCAGAATATTATAATGGATGATGAAAGTCCTTATTTGTTGAAGAAAAACTATTTCAACAGGAAAATGGAAACCTGAAAACGTTACGATTACTCTCAGGGACTGATATGTTCAATGTAACTTGACACAGAATACCCAATTATTTCTTATTTGAATATGAAACTAAACCTTTCCACAATAATTTTAGGCCAAAAAGAAAGCCTGAGCACGCTGGTCACAGTACTGGCTTTGGTAGGCAAGGCGGGGGTGGCGGCATCGTGGATCGCTAGTTCGCTTTATGCAGCAGAACTCGCACCCACCGTGATAAGGTGGGTGTTACTTTCTGGCAGCATTATACGCACTACCTCCAGATCGTTAACGTTATAATTAAAACGTTAATTCGAATGATTAGTCTTTCTAACACACTGGTTTACTTTAAAACTGTTTAGAATTGGACTTGCAAAATATTTAAAGTATGAAATGATCACTGTTTTATGTAGCCGAACTAAATGTAACGCAGAATATATATTTTTTTAGGAACATAGCATTCGGTACGGTATCGATAGCCGGGCGAATAGGTGGAATCGTAGCTCCACAGTTTCAATTACTGGTATGTCTATACTCTTTTACCTATGCATATATTTAAACTTGTCTTCATGTCATATTATGAAGTCGGGTTGCTGATCATGTAAGGATCATCCCGTCAAGGATATCGTAAGATACTTTTGTCACTTTTTATTCATAGAGTCAACCGCTCAATCTCAGTGCTTATATACAGATTGACCTTTCCTCGCCCAATGCAATGAGAACTTTGTTCCTTTTCGTGATTTCAGAATTCGATTTCTATGGAGCTGCCGTACATTGTATTTGGTGGTTTGTGCCTGGCGATGGCCTTCCTTGGCCTGCTCACTCTACCAGAAACAAGGAATAGACCTCTGCCGGACGCGTTACCGGAATGGTCATGTTGCGGAAGAGGGGAAGGGCACGTGGAGCTGGCACAAATTGGAGAAGCCACAAAAGATGGCGATCAATTAAATTTGCAGATATCGTAATGCTGATGTGAGGACAAGAAATATTGTCTTCTGGTATTCATAAAAAGCATTTTTGCAAAAAACGCACGATTTATTTGATTCACACAAATACAAAATAAAAGGCAAAGCTTCCATATAAATCTGAGGCTAGGAACGGATGAATCTATCCGTAACAAAATATTTCTAAAAGGTTCTTTATTTTCTAATACTTCCATTATAACAAAAAATTTATAAAATACTTTCTTGATATTGACTTTATAGTGGAAAATATAGAGTTGTATTGTAAAGCCCCGTGAATTGGGCAGATAAATTTTCTGTACCAGTAACCAGCTGTGCCATTTCTTAAATGCTGTGCAAAAATTCTCGCTGGACAAAAATGAGCACATGACTTAGCCTGAGAAAATCGGGAAAATTTGGTGAAAATCTCTCTGCAACCCTGGTAGAGGGTAGCAGATATAAATATAACTATACATGAGGCAGACGTGTTCAGATGATGGAGTTGAGCTGATGCAGGTGAAGCAAAAATCCATTATATATTGATTATAATAAGAGTGCAGAGATCCATTGCTTACAACAAGTGCATAAACAGTGTCAGTGTCGTACTTTTCTTCTCCGAGAGGGACTTTGTTTCATCCGCGATGCTCTTTCTGACCATTCCACGCAAGGATCCGTCGTCTACTATATATTTTCAAAGCATACCGTATGATGAATATATGTATAAAGCCATCACAATCTAGTGTTTTCATTCCCCTTAGACACGTTGTGGTTTTCCACGGCGCCGTACTTCATGACGTCATCTGGATTCTGATCATCGAGGTCTGAATGTCGGTTCTGTCTTCCACACCACGCCCAGTCTGGCAGAGCATCCAGGAGCGCTTGTCTGTTTGTCTCTGGTAACAAAAGTCCCAGAAAAGCAGCCGCCAGTGCAAAACTTCCAAAGATGATGAAAGGTAATTCCAGGGCGACAGAGCTCTAAAGAATCAAATATGTTTTTAGGTTAATATCTCGTTTTTAACAATAAAATGTTTTATTGAATGCCACGGAAGCCACCATGTTACAATCCTGCGGCATTTGCCTGAATTTAAAAACAAGTGAAGTGGACCATTTTGCAACGACATTAGTTCTCTTCCCACCGAGGTATGAACACAGCAACATACATACCAAGTAGGCAAACTGTGGGGCTGCTACTCCTCCTATTCTACCTGAGATAGAAGCTGCACCACAGGCGATGCTCCTGAAATCCAGTTGCATAAGCAATAATGAAACCAGCTGGGTGATAACGTAACTCAAGAAGTTATAAAGACTTTACAACTTCTTGCGTAACTGTAGTGCAAAAAAGCTTGCTGGATAGAAATGTGCAGTTTGTGGATAGCCAGTGGAGCATCCTTTAATATCTAGTTAACATTCCCTCTGTGACCCTACTAGAGGATGATAAAAGAGAAAGTGAATATACACTAAGGTCACTTAACCAGTTCAATCGAAAAAGTACGTTTGACTTTCAACTCAGTAAAGGTAAGATTGTCTGGCAGTTTCTTTCACCTCACAGTCTCTCTCTCTCATACATACCTTACAACCGTAGGGTACAGCTCCGCAGTATAGAGATAACTAACTACCCAGGCGGCTGACACACCCAGTTTTCCCAGCAAAGCCAGTACAGTGACCAATGTTCCCATGGTTTCCAGTTTACCTGCAATGACAGCGTGTTGTCCTTTCATATTTTAAAAGAGGAGCGAGGAAACATTTAAAGACTTTCCTTTTTCTTACAACATGCAATCCTCACATTCCATTCTATTCTAACATCCCTGTTTGAAGGCATACAATGCGCGGTAGTACTTTACAGATAATAATAATAATAATAATTTTGCAGAAATGCGAACAGTTTTCAGTTAATCACCAAAGCACATGTATAAGTTTATCCTATCCATAGCTGTTGAGAAGATTATGATTTGTACATCCGTTTTCAAGTAATAACATTCATTTTCAACCGTTGCAATTGAAATTCACTAGTCTTCATGTCTACTGCGAGAGTGACTGAAAATGAGAAGTAAATATGCTATATGCTATATGGTGTGCATAAGTCATTGAAATTTCCAGGAAAAATAACCAATTGCTACATAAAGACAGACGGACATGGTTTTCAAAAAGATGCGACGAATTATAAAACCGTACCGGCCACTCCTACAAACATCACTGAAAAGACTGCAAGTCCTCCGATTAACATGAACATAAACATCGTAGGGCGACGACCGATCCTAGAAAAATAATAATATTTGTAGTTACTTGTCTTTTTTCCCTCATTAAACTTTTAAGGCAAATGGCCCTCCATACTTTTTAAAGATTTTTTTTACTGGAATGAATTAGATTATATATAACGCCTTTTATCGAATTTTAAAAATTACTTTAAACGGTCCTTTAAACTTCCAGTGGCCGCTCCGAAGAATTTATAACTAATGGTTACCTTTTTTCATCAAACTGTCCTATAATTTTTTCATAATTTGTAAACATGTTTACTTGTTGTTTAAATAGGCTGTGGAGGCTGTGGCTGGCCAGTCCACCAGTGTCAGAAGGACGGTATTGATGTAGATGTCTCCCGGGAGATTCCTTACGTTCAGAGACAGCCCATAGTACATCGCTGCCTGAACGAACCTACATCAAAAAAGGACATGAAATGAAGGTCAATTTGATAAATACCATAGAAGGGCAAACTTTCCTGACCCCATAAAAGACAAGTTTACTGCGATACATTTAAAAACAAAATATTGCAAAAAAAGATTTACTTCTGCGATAACTTACTCACCACACAAACATCAGTATCAGTGTATACCGTGTCAGGAGAGGGGTACGGAAGAGATCCCAGAAACTGTACTTGCTCTCGTGAGCTGATCGGCGCTTTTCTTCCTATTTGAAAAATGAATTTCAGTCAGAAAATTATAACTTTTTCCATTATACATAAGAGGTTGGCCACCATTAAGGTAAACTGCATTCAAATATGCTTCGACATGATATTAAATATTGAAGCTTGCCTTCAGCACGATTACAAGCATTTGTATTTTCCCGTTGACTCAGGTTATCCAGTTCAATGTTAAGAGGTCCATTGATTCAAAAAGAAATTTAGTGTCCGTGAAATGCACAGTTGAGGGGCGCTCTTTAACAAAGTCCCTTTTAGCTGTTTTAAAATTGAACCGAGGACATTTGTCCAATTTTATTATTGACAGAGGGGCTTCTGGGAGACAATAGTGGGGGGAGGGGGGTACTCACGTCGATTGCCTTTTGCAACATAATCATATCCGGGGCAGGTTTCTTGTTGCTTCTGGCAATGGCATCTATGGTCTTCTTAGCCTCATCAAGCCTGCCGTGCATAGCAAGCCAACGAGGACTCTCTGGTAAAAACCTTAAGAAGAAAAGTAAAAGTGTATGTTGAACGTCAATCAAGTTTGCTTCCTACGTGCCTGTTTATACAAGACTGTTCCCGAGGAGCAGAACAAAAACCACATGAAAAATGCACTCACCTGCAGAACAGCCATAGTACGACGGGAGGCGCTAGTGACGTTATCATCACGAATGTCTTCCACTGACGTACGAAATAGGCAATCAGCGCCAGCGTCATAATGGCGATCTTCCAGAAGGTCACGGCGCCGTTTATCGTACGATATTTTGTCCCTGTAAACTCCAGAGCCCAAACGAAGTTCACAATCAATAAACCTGAAAATAGTACCAAATACTACAAACACTTTCTTTGGTCTTGGAGAACTACTGTAGAGTTATTAAGAGTACTGGTAAAATATTTTTGTACATGAAATGTCATGCTGATATTTTCTTGAAATGTTTTTACGTTAATCTACAAGATTTCGTCAATATTTATACAACAAAGTCCATAGTTCCACAATAAAGGCACAAATACTGCACATACTGTATATAGGAAATTACCTCCGGCGCACAGTCCATTGAAAAAACGCATCGCAGCAAACACTTCCCACAAGGGAGCAAATGCGTTAGCGAAGCCGACAACCCCATTGAAAGTGATAGTTGCGTACCACACCGGTTTTCTTCCAAATGTATCAGCGAGCTGACTTATTATCAATGCTCCAAGCACAACACCTACCATTTGGATCGTTGTGATCAGATCACCGATGTATTTGAGGTTGCAAATAAGGTTCCACTGAAATGATAAATAATAACGATTTTCTATTCAGAATGTGAGATCTTCGTTCAAAATTAAAACCATGTGCTCACCCCAACCCCCTAAGCTTCGGAAGCCGTTACACCCTTATCACTCAAAGACAATATAACAAGCCAAACTAGACAAAACAAAAAGACTTTCCATCTCTGTCCTCTACATATTACAGGAAAACAGTTTTCGTCTACTGTTTCTCTTCTCCTTCTGCCTTCTCTTCAACCAAACCCTGGATCCGCCACTGATTCGTTAACACTCGTTAAGCTGAAGAGCATGGTAATGGTACAGGTAAAAGAGTTGATAAGCCGGAGAAAAACTGCTTTCCATATAATTTCACGGGAATTTCATTGCCTTTTTCTACAAAAAGTTAAAACAATTGGCCTACCTCTGAAACGATCGAAGTGAAATCCGAAACATACTCAATCCCTGGGCACATTCCGCCGTCAGAGTTGCAGGTATCCAATATAATGGCCGGACTATCGTTGGTTCCATTCCCGTAGAGGTCAACAAGTTCTGACAAATGGCCAGTCCTATTCAAAGTCCGGTTCATCTGCGGACACAGCCACTGGGGTACTGCTGCGAAAAACACTGGCCCAAGCATTGTCCATCCCGTAACGAAATCACCCATGTTGATGGCGAGGAAGATCGCCAGCTGGCGACGACCAAGACCACCTAAATAAATTAATCTTTATTATTCATTATAACATTAACATACAGAATGCACTAGTTTTTTTTTAATTCTTTACATTAAGTTCCTGTAAAATATTTTGAGAAATGAATGTACAGAAACACCCAGAAAAGATTTTGTATATTTTTAGGTGAATATTTTCTTCCAATTTCAATACAAGATATGTGACTGATGCATCCGCCCAAATTCCATCATTCCATTCGTTGGGATCTACTCAGAAACGGTCATGGCCCCCAATTCATTTGAGAAACAGACGACGTTGTTTTGCTGTTTACAGTGGGTACCTCGGAGGTCGTCTGGTATTCTGACCTGCTAAGACCAGTTTGGTGTTCGCTAATAGCCTTGAAAAACGCATTTTTGTGGCAATTTACCCCTCGTTCTCAACGGACTGGGTGGTTTTTGTTTAGTTGCAGCAGCGTATCATGAAAGACTTTTTAAAATATTTTAGCTAATTTCAAGAGGCAATATATTGCTCCAGACAAAGAGATTTAAAAGTAGTTTAAATAACACCAAGTTGCCTTATTCTGTAATAAATTCGAACTCCAACGGCTTTGTAACCAGGACAGCTTTTGACCCTGGATGCAGTTGTGTCACTGAAGTAGGAGTGGAAAACATGTTACACGAAGAAGGATTGGCTTCAATCTTATGTTAATGTGGGATCAAAAGAAAAAGCGCACCACTTGGCATGCTGCATACCCAGTTATTCACCACCAACTGTCTTTGCTATATCAATTTTTTTCTTACTGCGCCGCCTGGTTATGTTGACACGGCGACATCAAGTAGCTTGTTTTTTACTGTCTTTTATTGCTTGGGTTTCGGCAACCTGAGTGTCAGAAGACACTGGGAACTCGCATCTTTACACAGTTTAAACGATCAACATGCCTATGGAATTTCTTGCATTCTCTGAAATTCATGCTAGGGACTCGCCGGACAGGTAAATAAAGGTTAATTGGTCTGATATATACCGCCAGCACTTTTATAAAAACCGCTGTTTTATCATTGTCTTCTTAAGTTGACATAGTCTAGATTTTGTCTCGATTTATTTTTTGTTTGGGACCCATCGGTAATTCTCTACTAATTGTAACATTCTCAAAAAATGTGGACCAACTCCCCCAACTTGTTCAAAAAGAATGGGACAATATAACTGTCTACAGGAGATAATTGCAGTACGCGGTATACGCACACGCTGTTAGGCACGTGATCTTTAACGAGCACACCTTAATGCCAATTGTTTGTGGATTTGGTGACATTTGATGGCGTCTTTTCAATTTAACAGACATTTCTTTGCATCGGTAGAAGTCACAGTGAAACAGTGGATTTGAGGGGGTACCTCTTATAAACTTTACTAAATGGTATAAAATGTGTATATTTTCACCACTGTTTTGTATTTTTTTTAACCGTTACTCATGTTAGACGCGGTATCCATAATAAAAAGCACTATTTCTAACAATTTACAGCTGTGAGGTGATCATTTGTAAATTAAAGTACATGGAAATGGGGGTGGGACAACCTTTTTGACCAATGTTGTACTTTAGAACAAAGTATTTTTCAATATATTAGAACAGTGTGTAACAGGCCAAGTGCTATTACTCAGAGAAGAGAGGCGAAATATAAAAACATAAAATCGGGTTATTTAAAAACCATGCTCACTAGTGTTGGGCCTTTTCTGTGTAGATATTTACCTTTTTATCGTCAACTGATCATCACTAATAAATTAGTTAAGGTTAAGTTTGCACTTACCTATCTGGTCAAATATCTGCTCAAAACCCTTGTGTTCAGTTGCCATGCTTTGTTTCGCTACTGCTTAATCAGGCCGTGTCCTTACTACCCAGCGAAAGGAAGTAATCAAGTCTGAGGTTATAAACAGCTTCTCCGAGATTAGAAGCTTTTTTAATCATAGGCAAGGCCTTGACGGGTGCACAGAAAACTGGTAATTTGAGCTGGTGAACTTGGTGTCAGCATAAGTTTTAGTACTCTCTGTAGTGGCACGTCTCTCTCTGCACGTGTGCAGCGGCGATGAGTTTGTATATTCTGATCTTTTAGAAGAGAACTGTTTTTCTTAATTTCTATGGAAAAAAAAACAGAAATGTCCTACTGTCATTTAAATCAGGGGTGGACATACATTTTTCTTCTTCCAACTAGCTTTACCATGATTGTGTAATCTTACACACGGTATATGCAAGACGCTACTTGACATACGAACTGAGAAAAAATACTCGCATTTCACCAAAACACTCCTAGAACAGAAGAAAGCTTTATAATACCACGGTCACATAGCATCTCAAGGTGTTTATTTACATATATATAATCAAGTGGCCAACTACTTGGACGTAACTTTAACGTTAAAAAAAGCATATAGGCATATCTTTTAGGAATCACACTCCCCTACCCCTCTCCTCTACTGCCACCACCTGGATTTATAAACAAGCAATGGCACACTTTAAACTATTCATTACCATATTCAAGAAGACTAATGAAAAAAGAGGAATTAAAACATGTATTCTCGATTTAAGGGTTGATTATTGTGAGTTTCATGTGGGCTTTGTAGTTTTGTGGAACAAAATGGCGGACATTAAATGGAGCCATTGGTTTTGGTTGTTAGGGTGCTGCTCCTTACCCTGTTAACCTATACCATCAGGGACTGGAAAATTACCATGTACATCACGTCACTTACTCCTCCTGTGATCTCGTGGTCGTTCCTTAGGTAAGTCGATTTGTAAATTAAAGTTATCACTTATATGTGCTGTTTTTGTTTTGGTATTTAAATGTCTAAATCAAAACTAACAAATATCTAAATGTGCTTCATCTTGCTTTTTTTCCTACATTAATTAGGTTGTGTGTGCTTGCGGTGGTGGATCTACCGGTAGCACTTTCAACACTCTATTTAAATAATAGGTGAGTGCAAAAGCGAAATGTTAATAGATTGACATAAATTAAGGGTCAAAAACTGTATCAATTATTTTGATATATAGTCATAATGTGCATGCATAGATAAGAAAATGGAATCTTTTAGACAATGTGTGCAAAACCGTTCGCAAAACTGTGATGTGTGGGTTCTGAGGTTTCAAATGTGCATTAGATGCTTTTAATTGTTAAATAATGGGTATTATATTTGCTTTCAGGGTAGGGCGACGTATTACCTACTTTGGTTTTATGCTCGTGGGAGGATGTGCTATTTTTTCTGTGATGTTCATCGCAATTTCAGGTATGGGAGAATATTATAATGGATGATGAAAGTCCTTATTTGTTGAAGAAAAACTATTTCCACAGGAAAATGGAAACCTGAAAAACGTTACGACAAAAAGAAAGCCTGACCACGCTGGTCACAGTACTGGCTTTGGTAGGCAAGGCGGGGGTGGCGGCATCGTGGATCACTAGTTCGCTTTATGCAGCAGAACTCGCACCCACTGTGATAAGGTGGCTGTTACTTTCTGGCAGCATTATACGCATTACCTCCAGATCGTTAACGTTATAATTAAAACGTTAATTCGAATGATTAGTCTTTCTAACACACTGGTTTACTTTAAAACTGTTTAGAATTGGACTTGCAAAATATTTAAAGTATGAAATGATCACTGTTTTATGTAGCCAAACTAAATGTAACGCAGAATATGTATATTTTTTAGGAACATAGCATTCGGTACGGTATCGATAGCCTGGCGAATAGGTGGAATCGTAGCTCCCCAGTTTCAATTACTGGTATGGTTTTACTCATTTACCTATGGATATTTAAATTTGTTTACATGTCATAAATTATGAAGTCGGGTTGCTGATCATGTAAGGATCATCCCGTCAAGGATATCGTAAAATACTTTTGTCACTTTTTATTCATAGAGTCAACCGCTCAATCTCAGTGCTTATATACAGATTGACCTTTCCTCGCCCAATGCAATGAGAACTTTGTTCCTTTTCGTGATTTCAGAATTCGATTTCTATGGAGCTGCCGTACATTGTATTTGGTGGTTTGTGCCTGGCGATGGCCTTCCTTGGCCTGCTCACTCTACCAGAAACAAGGAATAGACCTCTGCCGGACGCGTTACCGGAATGGTCATGTTGCGGAAGAGGGGAAGGGTACGTGGAGGTGGCACAAATTGGAGAAGCCACAAAAGATGGCGATCGATTAAATTTGCAGATATCGTAATGCTGATGTGAGGACAAGAAATATTGTCTTCTGGTATTCATAAAAAGTATTTTTGCAAAAAAACGCACGATTTAATTGATTCACATAAATACAAAATAAAAGGCAAAGCTTCCATATAAATCTGAGGCTAGGAACGGATGAATCTATCCGTAACAAAATATTTCAAAAAGGTTCTTTATTTTCTACTACTTCCATTATAACAAAAAGTTTATAAAATACTTTCTTGATATTGATTTTATAGTGGAAAATATAGAGTTGTATTGTAAAGCCCCGTGAATTGGGCAGATAAATTTTCTGAACCAGTAACCAGCTGTGCCATTTCTTAAATGCTGGACAAAAATGAGCACATGACTGAACCTGAGAAAATCGGGAAAATTTGGTGAAAATCTCTCTGCAACCCTGGTAGAGGGTAGCAGATATAAATATAACTATACATGAGGCAGACGTGTTCAGATGATGGAGTTGAGCTGATGCAGGTGAAGGAAAAATCCATTATATGTTGATTATAATAAGAGTGCAGAGATCCATTGCTTACAACACGTGCATAAACAGTGTCAGTGCCGTACATTTCTTCTCCAAGATGGACTTTGTTTCATCCGCGATGCTCTTTCTGACCATTCCACGCAAGGATCCGTCGTCCATTATATATATTTTCAAAGCATAACGTATGATGAATATATGTATAAAGCCATCACAATCTAGTGTTTTCATTCCCCTTAGACACGTTGGGATTTTCCACGGCGCCGTACTTCATGACGTCATCTGGATTCTGATCATCGAAGTCTGAATGTCGGTTCTGTCTTCCACACCACGCCCAGTCTGGCAGAGCATCCAGGAGCGCTTGTCTGTTTGTCTCTGGTAACAAAAGTCCCAGAAACGCAGCCGCCAGTGCAAAACTTCCAAAGATGATGAAAGGTAATTCCAGGGCGACAGAGCTCTAAAGAATCAAATATGTTTTTAGGTTAATATCTCGTTTTTAACAATAAAATGTTTTATTGGATGCCACGGAAGCCACCATGTTACAATCCTGCGGCATTTGCCTGAATTTAAAAACAAGTGAAATGGACCATTTTGCAACGACATTAGTTCATTTCCCACTGAGGTATGAACACAGCAAAATACTTACCAAGTAGGCGAACTGTGGGGCTGCTACTCCTCCTATTCTACCTGAGATAGAAGCTGCACCACAGGCGATGCTCCTGAAATCCAGTTGCATAAGCAATAATGAAACCAGCTGGGTGATAACGTAAGTCAAGAAGTTATAAAGACTTTACAACTTCTTGCGTAACTGTAGTGCAAAAAAGCTTGCTGGATAGAAATGTGCAGTTTGTGGATAGCCAGTGGAGCATCCTTTAATATCTAGTTCACAAAATTCCCTCTGTGACCCTACTAGAGGATGATAAAAGAGAAAGTGAATATACACTAAGGTCACTTAGCCAGTTCAATCGAAAAAGTACGTTTGACTTTCAACTCAGTAAAGGTAAGATTGTCTGGCAGTCTCTTTCACCTCACAGTCTCTCTCATACATACCTAACGACTGTAGGGTACAGCTCCGCAGTATAGAGATAACTAACCACCCAGGCGGCTGACACACCCAGTTTCCCCAGCAAAGCCAGTACAGTGACCAACGTTCCCATGGTTTCCAGTTTACCTGCAATGACAGCGTGTTGTCAATTTATATTTTAAAAGAGGAGCGAGGAAACATTTAAAGACTTTCCTTTTTCTTACAACATGCAATCCTCACATTCCATTCTATTGTAATATCCCTGTTTGAAGGCATACAATGCGCGGTAGTACTTTACAGATAATGATAATAATAATAACTATAATAATTTTGCAGAAATGCGAACAGTTTTCAGTTAATCACTCAAGCACATGTTGTTGTTAATCCTATCCAAAGCTGTTGAGAAGATTATGATCTGTACACCCGTTTTCAAGTAATAAAATTCAATTTTAACCGTTGCAATTGAAATTCACTAGTCTTTGTCTCTACTGCGAGAGTGACTGGAAATGAGAATTGTTATGCTACATGTATATAGTGTGCATAAGTCATTGAGAAAATGTTGAAATTTACTACATAAAGACAGACAGATATGGTTTTCAACAAAATAAGACGATTTGTAAAACCGTACCAGCCACTCCTACAAACATCACTGAAAAGACTGCAAGTCCTCCAATTAACATGAACATAAACATCGTAGGGCGACGACCGATCCTACAATAATAATAATATCTGTAGTTACTTGTGCTTTTTCCTCTCAGTAAACTTTTAAGGCAAATGACCCTCCATACTAGTTAATGATTTTTTAACTGGAATGAATTAAATTATACATAACGCCTTTTTTTCGAATTTCAAAAATTCTGAAACTTCCAGTGGCCGCTCCGAACCGAAAAATTTACAATTCATGACAACATTTTAAATAAATCGGTCCTATATTTTTTTAAAATAAATTCTAAACAATTTTACTTGTTGTTTAAATAGGCTGTGGAGGCTGTGGCTGGCCAGTCCACCAGTGCCAGAAGGACGGTGTTGATGTAGATGTCTCCGGGGAGATTTCTTACGTTCAGAGACAGCCCATAGTACATCGCTGCCTGAACGAACCTGCATTTAAAAAGCATATTAAATGTAGGTCAATTTGATAAATACCAAAGAAGGGCAAACTTTCCTGACCCATAAAAGACAAATTTACTGCGATACATTTAAAAACAAAATATTGCACAAAAAGATTTCCTTCTGCGATAACTCACCACACAAACATCAGTATCAGTGTATACCGTGTCAGGAGAGGGGTACGGAAGAGATCCCAGAAACTGTACTTGCTCTCATGCGCTGATCGGCGCTTTTCTTCCTATTTGAAAAATGAATTTCAGTCAGAAAATGATAACTTTTTCCATTATACGTAAGAGGTTGGCCACCGTTAAGGTAAACTACATTCAGAATTCAAATATTCTTCGACATTATAAGCTTATTAAATATTGAATTTTGCCTTCAGCATGATACCAAGCATTTGCATATTCCCCGATGACTCAGGTTATCCAGTTCAATGTTAAGGGGTCCACTGATTAAAAGGAAATTCAGTGTCGGTGGAATGCACAGCTGAGGGACACTCTTTACCAAAGTCCCTTTTAGCTGTTTTAAAATTGAACCAAGGACAGAGGGGCTTCTGGGAGACAATAGTTTGGGGGCGGTGGGGGGGGGGGGTGTACTCACGTCGATTGCCTTTTGCAACGCAATCATATCCGGGGCAGGTTTCTTGTTGCTCCTGGCAATGGCATCTATGGTCTCCTTAGCCTCATCAAGCCTGTCGTGCATAGCAAGCCAACGAGGACTCTCTGGTAAAAACCTTAAGAAGAAAAGTAAAAGTGTGTCTTTCATATCAACCAATTTTGCTTCCTACATGCCTGTTTATATAAGAATGTTCCCGAGAGGCAGAGCAAAATCCATGTGTTAAATGCACTCACCTGAAGAACAGCCATAGTACAACGGGGGGCGCCAGAGACGTTATCATCACGAATGTCTTCCACTGACGTACGAAATAGGCAATCAACGTCAGCGTCATAATGGAGATCTGCCAGAAGGTCACGGCGCCGTTTATCGTACGATATTTTGTCCCTGTAAACTCCAGAGCCCAAACGAAGTTCACTATCAATAAACCTGAAAAATAGTACCAAATACTACAAATACTTCATTTGGTCTTTGAGAGGTAGAATTGCCCCTTGTTATAAAGAATACTGGTAAAATATTTTTGTATATGACATGTCATGCTGATATCTTCTTGAAACGTTTTTACGTTAAAATGCAAGATTTTTTTCAATATTTATACAACAAAGTCCGTAGTTCCACAACAAAACCACGAATACTGCACATACTGTATATAGGCACTTACCTCCGGCGCACAGTCCATTGAAAAAACGCATCGCAGCAAACACTTCCCACAAGGGGGCAAATGCGTTAGCGAAGCCGACTACCCCATTGAAAGTGATAGTTGCGTACCACACCGGTTTTCTTCCAAATGTATCAGCGAGCTGACTTATTATCAATGCTCCAAGCACAACACCTACCATCTGGATCGTTGTGATCAGATCACCGATGTATTTGAGGTTGCAAATAAGGTTCCACTGAAATGATAAATAATAAAAATCTTCTTTTCAGAATGTGAGTTCTTCGTACAAAGTTAAAACCATGTGCCGGACGACGTTACCTCTCAAAGACAATATAACAAGCCAAACCAGACAAATCAAACGACTTTCCATCTCTGTCCTCTACATATTACAGGAAAACAGTTTTCGTCTACCATTTCTCTTCTCCATGTGCCTTCCCTTGGGCAAAATCCTTGATCCGCCAGTGATTCGTTAACACTCGTTACGCCGAACAGCATGGTAATGGTACAGGTAAAAGAGTTGACAACCCGGAGAAAACTGCTCCCCATATAATTCAAAACAGAATTTCATTGCCTTTTTCTACATAAAGTTAAAACACAATTGGCCTACCTCTGAAACGATCGAAGTGAAATCCGAAACATACTGAATCCCCGGGCACATTCCGCCGTCAGAGTTGCAGGTATCCAATATAATAGCCGAACTATCGTTGGTTCCATTCCCGTAGAGGTCATCGAGTTCTGACAAATGGTCAGTTCTATTCAAAGTCCGGTTCATCTGCGGACACAGCCACTGGGGTACTGCTGAGAAAAACACTGGCCCAAGCATTGTCCATCCCGTAACGAAATCACCCATGTTGATGGCGAGGAAGATCGCCAGCTGGCGACGACCAAGACCACCTAAATAAATTTTATCTTTATTATTCATTATAATATTAACATGCAGAATGCACTAGTTCTTTAGATTCAGTTCCTGTCAAATATTTTGAGAAAAAAAAATGCCTCAAGCACAGAAACACCCAGAAAAGATTTTGTATATTTTTAGGTAAATAATTTCTTCCCATCTCAACAAAGATATGTGATTAATGCATCCGCCCAAATTCCATCATTCCATTCGTTGGGACCCCCCCCCTCCCCCATCAGACTTTTTTAAACTCTAAGTTCAATAGGCAAATATTGCTCCAGACAAAGTGCACATTTTTTACTTATAATTTTTAATGGACAAAATAAAAAGTAAAAACAAATATATATTCTGAACAGGGTTAATACGCATTAAAGCTAATCTGAATAACGCCAAGTTGCCTTATTCTGTAATAAATCCAAACTTTCAAATGAGAATCTGATCCGCATATGGGCGGACAATAAAAAAAAGGGATCTGATGGTACATGCAGCTGAGACAGCTTATTTCTAGTTGAAGCCCGTGTAGTGCGCACAGGGTATAAATAACGGCCTAAATTTGCGATTGAAATATTATTCGAGGGGATTGGCTCGATTTCCCTTCCTTAGAGGTGTTTTACCTCTCATTTTGTTTTGGCGCAACGTGAAAAGAAAGATGAAATCTTATCTCTATAAGTCCTCTCAAATAGGCCACATAAAGATCTGAAAACTGTGATTAAAATCAAAATATCAAGGTATTCACAAGATTTCTTTGCTCTATTTATCAAGATTCAGTGAAAATTGACAAAATGATAAAATTTAATGTTTGAAAGATGTAGTTTTAACTTAAAAGATGTTCTGTAACAAGAATATACAGGTGTTTTCACTGATAAAGTAGATCAATACTACATAGAAGTGTATGCTATAAACGCCAGAAAATAACAGCAAGAGGTCACGGTCTTATTTATTTTGGAGTAAGAGGTGAAGCAAAATGAGTCAGTGAAGAAATTAGTTTGTTTGCTTTAGCAAAGCCAGTTGCGAGAACAGAGGTCAGGACCCTCCTCTCCGCCCTCACTGTTAGTTTATATGCAGCGCTGAAATCCCTGTATGTCTAGTGTCACAATACGTCAAGACGTGGACGTATTTGTTGATCACATTTATAGGCACACAAAATATCTAACACACATTCAAAGACACTTTCCTATTCAATTTTTGCCACCATCTCTGTAAACACCTTATAGCAGGTGATCAAGTTCCATTTTTCTTGTTTAACATTTTAAAAGTTCTAAAGCGCGTTGAATGCCTTGAAACGTATGTTTTTTGTCATAGTGTAATCATATAGTATATAATATGTGGTTTACTAACCAGGACAGGTTTTGTCCCTGGATACAGTTGTATCACTGAAGTATAGGGATGGAGGACATGTTCCTCGAAGAAGGATTGGCTTCAATCTCATGTTAATGTGGGATCAAAAGAAAAAGCGCACCACTTGGCATCCTGCTTACCCAGAAATTCACCACCAACTGTCTTTGCTTTATCAATTTTTTTTTCTTACTGTGCCGCCTGGTTATGTTGACACGGCGATATGAAGTAGCTTGTTTTTTACTGTCTTTTATTGCTTGAGTTTCGGCACCCTGAGTGTCAGAGGACACTGGAAACTCTCATCTTTACACAGTTTAAATGATCAACATGCCTATGGAGTTTATTGTGTTCTCTGAAATCCATGCTAGGGACTCACCGGTCGGGTAAATATAGGTTAATTGGCCTGATATATACCGCCAACACTTTTTTAGGAATCCTTGTTTCATCATTTTTATGCATTGTCTTCTTAAGATGACAAAGTCTAACTTATTTTTGTCTCGAGTGGTTTATTTTTTGTCTGGGACCCATCGGTAATTCTCTACTTTTCGAACCCTCCCGGATCGTTTACATAAATGACGTCACCCTCTAAACAGGGGGGCACAGGAGGATGCCGTGACCTATTGCTCTACTTTAAAACAAAGCCTTTATCAAAATATTAGAACAGTGTGTAACAAGCCAAGTTCCATTACTTAGAGAAGAGAGACGAAATATAAAAACAAAATCAGTTCATTTAAAAACCATGCTCACTGGTGTTGGGACTTTTCTGTGTAGGTCTCTACCTCTTCAGCGTCCCCTGATCATCACTAATAAATTAGGTTAGGTTAGGTTAGCACTTACCTATCTGGTCAAATATCTGCTCGAAACCCTTGTGTTCGGTTGCCATGCTTTGTTTCGCTACTGCTTATTCAGGTCGTGTCCTTACGACCCAGCGAAAGGAAGTAATCAAGTCCGAGGTTATAAACAGCTTCTCCGAGATTACAAGTTTGTTTAATCATAGGCAAGGCCTTGACGGGTGCACAGAAAACTGGTAATTTGAGCTGGTGAACTTGGTGTCAGCATAAGTTTACTACTCTCTGTAGTGGCACGTCTGTATATGCATCCGGAGCTACTGCACTAGTGTGCATCATACGCATGCGAGGCCGTACACTTAGGAATTTTGTTGTTTTGAGGGGGGGAGGGGCAGTTGCAGAAGGCCTACAGCATATTTTTAGTACCGCCAGTGGTGATCGGCTAGAAAGTGACTGATGGAAAGTAAGAGATTTTTGATGCACCGAGAAAAAGAACATGCTAGCAATAAAGGTAAAATCAAGATTTCTGACCCCCCCCCCCCGCCCCCATTCCACTACCCCGTGCAGTGTACATATATAGCTTGTAATGCTCTACAAGACTGCTGCTGCTATAAAAAACTGATACAAGATAAGAGATATAAGGAATATATAGATATTGCTCTCTACATAAGCCGCACACCAATGCTGTAGTAATTTGTTATTCTTGACAAGTACTTTCAAAATAATAAATTAATTGTTACTCTCTAGCAGTCTCGAACTGCTCATACCTCGAAACTAGTGGACTAGAAGCAGTCTTCTCTAGCTGTTACAAACTACATTAGTCTTACATGCAATTTGGTAGGGAAGACCTATATAGATAGTAAAGGGTGCCGATAGTACCTTGTTCCATTATTTATTTTTATTTAATTATTATTATTTTTTATAAAGAAGCGCAGTGGTGAGCATGTCCTTGATTCGGGGAATGAGTCTTTCTTTAAAATATTATCTTCACTGTTAACAAGGATCAGTACCAAAATAACCGAGCCCACTCTTTATTAAAGGTTGTCTCTATGATTAGACTGTTTAATGTTGTTAATCATACAAACGAGGTTTTGCGGGCAACGGTATTTCAAAATCGCCACCCTTCACAGCCGCCTTTCTAAGAAAACCACAAATACCGGTACACTGAGTAAAAAATAAAATTCATTTTTATTTGCTTTTGGTGTGCTTGGTAATCCTTCATTAACGACGGAATTCAAATTATTTCCATGTAAGTTGCTCTGTCGCGTATTGGCGCTAAAGATTGAAAATATGCTCATCCATTTCTGCCACTGCAATATTGTGTTTGTCAATGTGAAATTCAAGGACCTTTTTTTCATACTGTGAACAGCGAAGCATTTTTCTGCAAAAATATTTCATTTTGCACTTTACCGTTCAAAACCGTGTGTTCTACTATTTCGTTTCCCTAAATATTTAAGAGAGACCTTAATTTGCAAATGAGAACGTAGCCTCTTACTGAACGCTTCATTATCGACAATGGCTCCAAATACTATCACTGCCATGAGCTGCAAAGCAACTGCCTTAACGTCCTTCATAGTAATGTTTCCTTTGTCTCCTCGTCAAAACCTTATTGCCTCCGTGCCAAAGTCTTACTGATACCCAGCTTTTTTTCTGAAAGACAGCACTATGCAACATAATGGGTACATATTTGTCTCACTCGCCCTTTTCATACGTAAAGAGCTGTGTAGAGTACGCAGGGGCGGATCCAGGATAATTTGAAGAGGGGTCTGCGGATACGAAGCCGACACTCCCCTACCCCCTTTTGGTAGTTCAGAGGGCGAGCGGTGCCATTTGGTACGGTTTAGAACTATGATTCAGCTAGTCAAAATTCTAATTTGAAGACTAAACCTTTGGTGTGATTTTCTTTCAGAAATCTGCCACTGGTTACTACACAATTGTGTCAATGATGGCAAAACAGAAGTAGTTCAGTTTATCTCACGTTTTTCTAAAATGCAGAAAAATTAGAAGTATTAGGAACTGGAAACAGCATGGTCACGGTAAAAGATGAGGTTAAAAACTTAAAAGTAATTTTTGATAACAAGTGCGATGTGGCCGCCGACATCAGTAAAAAAAAAAAAAGCAGAACCGCTTTCTTTGGTCTTTAAAAATCTCCAAACTATCCCGTATCCTTGACAAAGGTCAAATGGAGAGGTTTATCTATGCCTTCATAACTTCACATCTTGACTACGGAAACAGTCTACTGTATGGTCTTCCTACGTACCAAATTAAAAAAACTGCAATTTGTCCAAAATGCCGCAGCACGACTACTGACCAAATCCCGTCTTAGATCAAACATTTCACCTATCTTAGTTGAACTACATTGGCTTCCAGTACGACAGAGAATAGTTTTTAAATTACTGCTGTTTTTTTTTTAATTCACCGGGGGTGAATGCCCTTAATATTTTTAAAACTCTATATGCTACATCCAAGTTCAGCGAATCACACCAGGTCCACCAGATCTACCTCTCCTCTTTGCTTTACCAGGAATAACAAAAAAAAAAAAAAAAAAAAAAAAAAAAAGAAAACCGACGGCCACAGGGCATTTTCAGTTGCAGCTCCCATTTTATGGAATGAACTACCCTCACACATTCGGACTACAGATGGTGTTGACTTTTTTAAAAAAAGACTTGGAAACATTCTCATTTGCACAGAACTTCAATTAATGTTAATACTTGAAATTATATATTTTCTCGTTTTTTCATAAAAAAGTTTTATTATCTAGAGTATTACTATCACAACCAGCACTGATTATTTTAATTGTTTTAGTCACCTCAGCTTTTAGTATTTAAATATAATTACTTGTAATTCTGATAATTTTATTTGTAAACAGCACTGAGGCGGAAGTGTAGTGCGTTTTTTAAGAAATAAATAATATTATTAATTATAATAAATTGCAAAAAAATATGATTACTCATTTCGTATTTCTAAAAGGCATAAAGAGATAATAATAAGAGTTTGTAAAGCTTCGCTTGTTTCATTTCACGTTCCAACTACAAAAAAAAAAATGTTGATTGCAGAAGATTATCTGAGGCCGCTGTTTTCTTTCTGTTACATCTTTCCGAGGAGGAATGCTGCGAAGATGGAGACCAGTCCCATAAGAAGCACACTGCTGGACACTGTGGCACTGCCGTTGCAAAGTTCCCCGCTGCACACACACACGCTCCCCGTCACCCCCGCTATAGAGGTCTCCGTGCAACCATTGCTCTGCCCGGAAACGGCACAGGTGCGAGCGACGCTCTGGACGCCTGCAAACAGGTAAATAGCATTTGTTCAGAATTCTGCATTTGTCAACTTTAAATAGACACGACGATTACATATAAGTCGTACAGACTCGACTACTTAGAGTAGTCACTGTCATATCAAAGCATTAGACACAAAAGGTACATGTATGTCAATATTTTATTTTCAGGTGAAATTTTACAGGTTCTCTCTCTCTCTCTTTTTATATTTTTTAATTAATTAATTTATTTGTCACCTGAAGTCTCAGCCTTGGTCTTCTGACAGCCAGCGGAGCAGTCGACTGTATTGCCCGAGTTTGCAGCCTTGTCAAATGGGTCGTTACAATTTGTGCACGAGTAACACTTCACTGCGCTAGCTGAAAGAAAAATTTAATCATCTGGTTTAATGTGCCATTTACTCTCCTGTTAAAGATGTAATAAGAAATCCTCGTAGTAGTACTGATAGACTATGTACATAGTTAAATATGATGATGTTTTAAGCTAGGTTGGTTCGTCGGCATGTGCGTGGAAGGCTGACTGGAACAAATAGAAGCAATATTGAAGTAATATGTCTGTTTGAATTAAAGAACAATTGTCTAAAGAAACAGATAAAAGAGCTAACAATTTTATCAGAATCACAAGGCTTGCGTGCTTAGTCACAAATCTATATTTGAATTTCCTTGTATTACGTACCGGTAATACTGCTTATGGCATAAGTTATGCTTATCAAACTAATTATAAGTGACTACGAGAACAATCGGCAACAGGCACGAGTGTTACCTCTCAGGTAGGCCTTACCCCGACCTTGTGACAATCAATGAAATAACACAAATGATTAAAATGATTGAATATTACTTACTAATAACCCATAATACGCAATATGATGTTCATTTGGACGGGCAAGGGCCAATTTAAAGGAGAGAATAGTGAAGCGGCAAAACTCGTTGCACTCTAACAAATTCCAAGCCAGCACATTCCATTTTCTGTTTTGGCGATACTTTGTACAAAAGAAAATTAGCAAACTTATAGCCCAAGGTAAGTCCTGTAAACAAGGAAGTGTTTGTTATGCAATTCGACTGTATTTGACACACAGATGTGTTATCTTTAATTCAAACAGATTAACTTAATACTATTGGAACCTAGGTAACAACAGCTTATTAATAGGAAAGGCCTAAATTACTTAACAAGGTTAACATTAAAATACCAGGGAAAACGACGTGTGTTTCACGCACAAGACCACTCGAATCATGATCACGACAAAACACTGTCAAACAGACATTCCCTTATCTTAGCGATAGACCTAGACACCGACATACCGCGTAAGAAGCTAAATAAAAACTATTTTGCATTAATCATAAAAGCAGCCTCTAAAAAGGCCATCAAACCGTGGGTTTTCTGGGCCCATCACACATATCCTGAAAGACTCGTGTTTAATTATCCGGTTCAAACTGTGCATCAGAGAATTCGGGCAATTTTTGAAATCGTTTTTCTATATCAGTTTATATTTCAAAGGAGCGCAAGCAGATATTTTCACATTTAAATAAAACGAAATCTAAGGCCACTGTTAGATTTTAATGCATATAACAAAACTATTAAATTGATCTATTATTGATCTATTACACTGACGTTGTCGTTATTAGGTTCGCACGTAGGCCCACTTTAGACACTATGTTTATTTACACTTTTGCACACTTTCACACACTTTTTACAGATAATTCCGTTACTCATTAGAATTAAATTTGGATTTCGTTGTGCTATGTTTAAGGCGGGAGCAGACCGCCTATAGTTCGGGGAAGGACTCCAACGGCCAGCGTTTTATTTGGTGGGCGAGGAGGTAAGAAAACCTTATAGATAAATTTCTGATGGAAATTCATCTGTGTAGTCTGTTGATCATATTATAAGACTAAACTTTTCATTTTCTGTATTAAATTAAAGCTGTATCTTACAGAGTTTTTATTTGTGTAGATAATGAAAAGTGTAGCCTTATAAATGATAGGCTACATAATTCTTCTAATTTTCTCCAATTTTTTTTAAATTTTGTATCCAAAAGCGACAGTAGCAGTAAGAAGCCTGTGCACGCCTTGAAAGTATTAACTGCAGTACTTTAGGCCTAATTTTAACACGCCTCTTGCTAAAAGGGGTTGCTTCTTGCTATTCCCACATCTACAAAATACAATTGAACTTTAATTGTTCATAAGCCTACCTACTACATATAATTACAACCTGTCGTCTAAATGTTAGAAAATGTTTTTTTGTTAATCTTATCATTTTTTATCTTTAATTTGTTTAAAAAAAGTCTACTAAATGTTTATCTCTCATAAAATGTTTTTACTAATTGTATTTTCTTTTATGCATCTTTTTTTTCTACAAACCCTATATTTTACTGTTCCAGCATATATCTCATAATATTAGCAAAGCACATGTCTACTGCCTAGTAAACAAGAAGGTATTTTTATAAATAGATATAAGAAATAAGACACTTGTATTTCATTTTAAGTTGTGTGACAGTGGGTCATAAAAACGAAATGAAATTGCACTCACACCATTTCTATGCAAAAAGCAGCTATAAAAAGTAATATCTAAAGGGGACTAGGTTTATGAAATTAAGTCTATCGGGCAGCTTTACACTTACAAATTTAATGATTACTCTTGATGTAAGGTTATTTTCTCTAAAGTAGCATAGTCTGATGGCTATAAAACTTACTTGTATCGATCGAAACCCAGCAAACAACGAGCAAAATAGCAACAGTGTAAAACTTGGCCATCCTGTAAAGATGTTAAAGGAAATCTTTCAAAAAGTTTCAGTTCTGCTTAACGGCACGCCTTGTCCTTCAAACTGACGCCTCTCCTTGCTGTGGACCTTTTATACCCGCGTGTTGCCTCAACCGCCATCCAATGGAATCGCATCGCAGGGCAGGGAAGGTGCGTTTCCGTTATGACGCGTAAGTTAATCATTCGTGCCTATTTCTTCTACTATAAACGAAAAATGAGTCTTTCTAAATTATTTGATACATATATTAATTTTATATCTCTCTTTTTACCAAAAGAAGATTGGATCTAATCGTGTTTCATAGAAAAATAGTAAAAACTTTGCTCCTTCAAACACGGACTCGATTATCCACAGCTGGCCTATTTTCAGTTGGTGTGTGGGTTGGGCACGGGGTTTTCAAGGGCAAGATAGGATTTCGCAATGCCCATTTGTTTTCGCTTAAAAATCCCGAGAAAAAAGTTGTGCAATACTGAAAGATCCTAAATCGTCTGTCTGTGGTTGAAAGTTGCCACAGACTTGTTAATAAGAAAAATCGCACCCTCGTGTTTCTTTGGGCCTTTTTTCGAAGGGACAGTTGCAAAATCTGTCAATAGGTTTGTTGAAACTTCCCATTTGCCCTTCTTTTAATAATCTATTACACAAAGCTGTCGAATTTAATGATATACATATACATCCACCCTTTTTATGTTTTATTGCTTCAACCAATGCAATGAAATTAACTTATCTTTGATTGAAGAGGGTACAGGCCAACATGATAAAAAAACTTTTATTATTTTTTTTTGTGTCGAGTTTAAGCTTACTTCGTGATTAATAATTGCATGTATCATGTGCCTTAATAATTACACTTTTCAAAACATTTTAAATCCATTAGTTACATAGGCCTATGATATAGAAATCCACATTACGCAAGAAAGCTTAATGGCTCTCCTTGGCTTTTTTCCTTAAAGTTTCTACATGTAGGCCTACCAACGTGTACTTATATTATCTGGACTTTAAGTTAACGTTAACCACCCCATGCCCAGGANCTTTGCTTCTAACACCACTGCACGTCACTTCCGGCACAATTCTGACCAATGCTGATCTTCTCCGGTACCCGTTATTGCAACTCCCATTTTATGGAATGAACTACCCTCACACATTCGGACTATAGATAATGTTGAGGTTTTTTAAAAAAGACTTGAAAACATTCTTGTTTGCACAGTACTTCAATACTTGAAATTATATATTTTCTCGTTTTTTCATAAAGGAGTTTTATTCTTTAGACTATTACTATCATAACCAGCGCTGATCATTTTAATTGTTTTATTCACCTCAGCTTTTAGTATTTGTATAATTACTTGTAGTTCTGATAATTTTATTTGTAAACAGCACTGAGGCGGAAGTGTAGTGCGGTTTTTAAGAAATAAATAACATTATTTATTATTATAAATTACAAAAAAATATGATCACTCATTTAGTATTTCTAAGAGGCATAAAAAGAAAAAATAAGAGTTTGCAAAGCTTCGATTGTTTCATTTCACGTTCCAACTACAAAAAAAAAAAAAAAAAATGTTGATTGCAGAAGATTATCTGAGGCCGCTGTTTTCTTTCTGTTACTTCTTTCCGAGGAGGAATGCTGCGAAGATGGAGACCAGTCCCATAAGAAGCACACTGCTGGACACTGTGGCACTGCCGTTGCAAAGTTCCCCGCTGCACACACACACGCTCCCCGTCACCCCCGCTATAGAGGTCTCCGTGCAACCATTGCTCTGCCCGGAAACGGCACAAGTGCGAGCGACGCTCTGGACGCCTGCAAACAGGTAAATAGCATTTGTTCAGAATTTTGTATTTGTCAACTTAAAATAGACATGACGATTTCATATGAGTCGTATAGACTCGACTACTTAGAGTAGTCACTGTCATATCAAAGCATTAGACACATGTATGTCAATATTTTATTTTCAGGTGAAATTTTACAGGTTCTCTCTCTCTCTCCTTTTATATTTTTTAATTAATTGATTTTTTTGTCACCTGAAGTCTCAGCCTTGGTCTTCTGACAGCCAGCGGAGCAATCGATTGTATTGCCCGAGTTTGCAGCCTTGTCAAATGGGTCGTTACAATTTGTGCACGAGTAACACTTCACTGCGCTAGCTGAAAGAAAAATTTAATCATTTGGTTTAATGCGCCATTTACTCTCCTGTTAAACATGTAATAAGAAATCCTCGTAGTAGTACTGATAGACTATGTACATAGTTAAATATGATGATGTTTTAAGCTAGGTTGGTTAGTCGGCATGTGCGTGGAAGGCTGACTGGAACAAATAGAAGCAATATTGAAGTAATATGTTTGTTTGAATTAAAGAACAATTGTCTAAAGAAACAGATAAAAGAGATAACAATTTTATCAGAATCACAAGGCTTGCGTGCTTAGTCACAAATCTATATTTGAATTTCCTTGTATTACGTACCGGTAATACTGCTTATCGCATAAGTTATGCTTATCAAACTAATTATAAGTAACTACGAGAACAATCGCCAACAGGCAAGAGTTTTACCTCTCAGGTAGGCCTTAACCCGACCTTGCGACAATCAATGTAATAAAACAAATGATTGAAATGCTTGAATATTATGCAATAAAAAGTTATTGCTAAAAACTATGATGATTTTTTCTAACCCATAATGCGCAATATGATGTTCATTTGGACGGGCAAGGGTCGATTTAAAGGAGAGAATATTGAGGCGGCAAAACTCGCTGCACTCTTACAAATTCCATGCCAGCACATTCCATTTTCTGTTTTTGGCGATACTTTGTACAAAAGAAAATTAGCAAACTTACAGCCCAAGGTAAGTCCTGTAAACAAAGATATGTTTGTTATGCAATTCGACCGTATTTGACACACACCTATGATATCTTTAGTTCAAACAGATTAACTTAATACTATTGAAACCTAGGTAACAACAGCTTATTAATAGGAAAGGCCTAAATTACTTAACAAGGTTGAAATTAAAATACCAGGGACAACAATATCGCGTGTGTTTCACGCACAAGGCCACTCGAATCATGATCACGACAAAACACTGTAAAACAGACATTTCCTTATCTTAACGATAGACCTTGACACCGACAGACCGCGCAAGAAGCTAAATAAAAACTATTTTGCAATAATCATAAAAACAGCCTCTAAAAAGGCCATCAAACCGTGGGTTTTCTGGGCCCATCACACATGTCCTGAAAGACTCGTGTTTCATTATCCGGTTCAAACTGTGTATCAGAGAATTCGGGCAATTTTTGAAATCGTTTTTCTATATCAGTTTATATATCAAAGGAGCGCAAGCAGATATTTTCACATTTTAATAAAACGAAATCTAAGGCCACTGTTAGATTTTAATGCATATAACAAAACTATTAAATTGATCTATTATTGATCTATTACACTGACGTTGTCGTTATTAGGTCCGCATGTAGGCCCACTTTAGGCACTATGTTTATTTACACTTTTACACACTTTCACACACTTTTTAAAGATAATTCAGTTACTCATTAGAATTAAATTTGGATTTCGTTGTGCTATGTTAAAGACGGGAGCAGACCGCCTATAGTTCGGGGAAGGACTCCAACGGCCAGCGTTTAATTTGGTGGGTGAGGAGGTAAGAAAACCTATAAATAGATAATTTTCTGATGGAAATTCATCTGTGTAGTCTGTTGATCATATTATAAGACTAAACTTTTCATTTCCTGTATTAAATTAAAGCTGTATCTTACAGAGTTTTTATTTGTGAAGATAATGAAAAATGTAGCCTTATAAATGATAGGCTACATAATTCTTCGAATTTTCTCCAATTTTTTTTTTAAATTTTGCATCCAAAAGCGACAGTAGCAGTAAGAAGCCCGTGCACGCCTTGAAAGTATTAACTGCAGTACTTTAGGCCTAATTTTGACACGCCTCTTGCTAAAAGGCGTTGCTTCTTGCTATTCCCACATCTACAAAATACAATTGAACTTTAATTGTTCATAAGCCTACCTGCTACATATAATTACAACCTGTCGTCTAAATGTTAGAAAATGTTTTTCGTTAATCTTATCATTTTTTATCTTTAATTTGTTTAAAAAAATAGTCTACTAAATGTTTATCTCTCATAAAATGTTTTTACTAATTGTATTTTCTTTTATGCATCTTTTTTTTCTACAAACCCTATTTTTTACTGTTCCAGCATATATCTCATAATATTAGCAAAGCACATGTCTACTGCCTAGTAAACAAGAAGGTATTTTTATAAATAGATATAAGAAATAAGACACTTGTATTTTATTTTAAGTTGTGTGACAGTGGGTCATAAAAACGAAATGAAATTGCACTCACATCATTTCTATGCAAAAAGCAGCTATAAAAAGTAATATCTAAAGGGGACTATGTTTATGAAATTAAGTCTATCGGGCAGCTTTACACTTACAAATTTAATGATTACTCTTGATGTAAGGTTATTTTCTCTAAAGTAGCATAGTCTGATGGCTATAAAACTTACTTGTATCGATAGAAACCCAGCAAACAACGAGCAAAATAGCAGCAGTGGAAAACTTGGCCATCCTGTAAAGATGTTATAGGAAATCTTTCAAAAAGTTTCAGTTCTGCTTAACGGCACGCCTTGTCCTTCAAACTGACGCCTGTCCTTGCTGTGGACCTTTTATACCCGCTGTTGCCCTCAACCGCCATCCAATGGAATCGCATCGCGGTCCGTGCATGGCAGGGAAGGTCCGTTTCCGTTATGACGCGTAAGTTAATCATTCGTGCCTATTTCTTCTACTATCTATAAACGAAAAATGAGTCTTTCTAAATTATTTGATACATGTATTAATTTTATATCTCTCTTTTTACCAAAAGAATATTGGATCTAATCGTGTTTCATGGAAAAATAGTAAAAACTTTGCTCCTTCAAACACGGACTCAATTATCCACAGCTGGCCTATTTTCACTTGGTGTGTGGGTTGGGCACGGGGTTTTCAAGGACAAGATAGGATTTCGCAATGCCCATTTGTTTTCGCTTAAAAATCCCGAGAAAAAAGTTGTGCAATACTGATAGATCCTGAATCGTCTGTGGTTAAAAGTTGCGACAGACGTGTTAATAAGAAAAACGCACCCTCATGATTCTTTGGGCCTTTTTCGAAAGGAAAGTTGCTAAATCTGTCAATTTGTTTGTTGAAACTTCACATTTGCCCTTCTTTTAATAATCTATTGGGCAAATCTGTCGAATTTAATGATATAGGCCTACATATACATCCACCCCTTTCATGTTTTATTGCTTCAGCCAATGCAATGAAATTAACTTATCTTTGATTGAAGAGGGTACAGGCCAACATGATAAAAAAACTTTTATTCTTTTTTTTTGTGTCGAGTTTAAGCTAACTTTGTGATTAATAATTGCATGTATAATGTGCCTTAATAATTACACTTTTCAAAACATTTTAAATCCATTAGTTACATAGGCCTATGATATAGAAATCCACATTACGCAAGAAAGCTTAATGGCTCTCCTTGGCTTTTTTTCCTTAAAGTTTCTACATGTAGGCCTACCAACGTGTCCGTATATTATCTGGACTTTAAGTTAACGATAACCACCCCATGCCCGGGACAAAGGAATGGACTTCAAACTGTTAATGAAGAATGTTCTTGTGATACCATTGTTTGACCGATCCCATTAATTATTGATAGGCCTATTTGTCTGATAAATTTAATTAATCATACAAATCTGTGACATTATGTATATCAAAGGACCTTTCAAATAACTTAATTTGCAGGGCTATTTCAAATAACTTATCCAAGTTTAGCTCGGAGAGAGAGAGAGAGAGAGAGAGAGAGAGAGAGAGAGAGAGGTTCACGTGCACGTGCAGGAATCCACCCTTGTGTGTTTAATGATAGTCCGATGTATGGTACACTCCCTGAATAGGGTCCAGCTTTTAAAGATTTCGTCGTACCTAATACAGGAAGTTCCCAGAGTTTACAGTTGGGGACCCCCTGTCCTTTGATCTTATATCTTAAGTTGAAGCAAGGAGGTGTATACATGTACCTCCTCGGTTTCAGTCCACACCAGCGTGGTTGGCCTGCCTTGAAAGTTATATTTTAAACTGAACGGCAGCGTCACGTGTTTATTTTTCTGCCCTCATTGTTGCAGGAAGTAATGTCCGTCACCTGTAGTAATTAGTGAGGTAGGACAATCCTTATTATTAATATTATTGTGGTTTTAGGGGCCTTGTGTTAGAGGAATAATTCTATAATTTCGACTGACACTTGCTGATTAAACTTCAACACAAAACATATTACTCATTATTAGAAATCGGTGAGCTGCATATTTATTTAATTATTTATTCATTTATTTATTTATTGAAGGGAGGGGGTCACGTTTTAGGGTGATGGGCTAGAATAGAGCATACTTCTTTATTTCCGTGCCTCTCGCTCAAGAGTGACATTTATGCAGACCATGCATAATGATGTGGCTTAGCAAGCTGATTTAACTAGCGTCCTTAACATACCAAAACTAACTATACAGCCATAACCATGCTCATATAACAGAGCTATAAACACGAAAATGCATGTGTAGTTTTTATATTTTTTGCACGCCTACATGTAGCACTGAATTGTACTCAGGTCATGGCAAAACACATTCAAAATGTGAATTAAAAAAAGATTCTCATAAAAAATTACAAATTAAAGTTGAGATAAATGAAAGGAGTCAGATTGGATATATGCGCATGTTATACTGTATATCATTAGGTCAGTCAAATCCTAAATGCATTCATATTCTTATTTAATGGCTTTTCATATTTTACGTATGGTATTTACATATTCCAATAAAGTGTCCACCCATCTATTTTTTAACATTTATAACTATAGAGCCCTAGACTGAAAGGACGTCAAAAATATAAAAATTCGTTAAAGTACAATAGCCTGAGTCTGACCGAGACATATTTTGTTTGTTCATCATAAAAAGAAAATGTTTTTACTGGTCTTACACGATAAAAGATACATATAATACGTCGATGTTTTCAGTGACAAATTTAATGGTTTCAGGGGCGGATCCAGGATTATTTGAAGGGGGAGGGGTCGGCGGGTGCAAAAAAAAATATTATTTATGAATTTTTTCTTTGCTATGGTTGAACAAAACTGACAAAAGGTAGTTTTTAAAATGTGTCAAGATTGCAACAAACTATGAAACAAATTCCATACAATATTTTGCGGCGACGGCCGCGGGATATAAAAAACGAGTAGAATAGGGCATATTTGACTGGCTGTAACATTTTGTCACAAACAAAGTTATTTCACTTGTCCCAATGTAGCGCTATAATTTTAGGCCTGTGGCCTGAGAGGTGAATGACGAGAGTGGAGCCATGGTGAGAGATCTCAACCAGGATTGTAACTCACTGAAACAAATTCCATATGAGATTTTGTGGCGGTGGCCGCGGGGTATAAAAAACGAGCAGAATAGGGTAGATTTGACTTGCTGTAACATTTTGTCACAAACAACATTATTTCACTTAACTGACGACACGAAACCTACTCACGTTACCATCTCAGTTATTAAAAAACTGAATAGTCCACGATAAGACCAACGCAAGACTGGGTGTAGAAGGTGTACGTACTAATGTGACACTTGCATTTATTACGTTAACTGGAGACTCGGTATAATCTGCGTTCATTGACCGTATAAAGCCAGGAATATTACAATGATCCCAATTTCTTATATTTGCAAATGTGAAATGTTTTGAGTTAATGGGAGTAATATTCCCATTATTAATTGGAAAGCAAACAATAAGGCACTGGGGAATATAAAATGAGCTACAACTTGTTGATAGGTAGTTTTCTGCTTGGTGTGTAAATAACAAAAGTAAGCCAGTGCGTTATTGTCGTAGGTCAAATATCCAAACAAAATCAAAGGAATCATGAGTTCACGTGTAAATCTCGATGAGAGAGACTACTGTACATGTATCATTATTTATTGTTATTATTGTTGTAAATGAAAATCGCATATCCACGTATTGTCGTTCAAAGTTATTATCCAATAGAAAGATTAGTGTCATTTTAAGTCATTTTCGTATCGTATCGTATCGTATCGTATCGTATCGTAAGATCTCATTTTTCTCCTCTCAAAATCATTTCCCAGGCGGTTTTGCTGGCGGCATTGTTTTTTCGGAAGCGCTGCTGTAAGTCCCGCTTTTTCACCTGTAAGGAAATGCACACTGCTGTATGTACCATGTCGCTGTAATTGAGTCTTGAATCTCATCTGTTTATCTGTCTATGCACATATCCAAAATATTATCAACACTTAATCGCTAAGGTACATCAATCAGAATCCTTTCACATAACAACATTTTCATTTTGATATAAGGTGATTTGATTCAATTGCAAAATCCATATAACTCTAGATTTAGATTATTCAACATCCCATTATAAACGTTGCATCTTTTCTAAATAATACAACTTACCATTTTACTGTTTGAAATGTATTTTCTTTCTATGTCTGCTCTCTTGCCAATAACTGTAAATATAAAAAAAAAATAAATAAATAAAAATAAATAAAAAAGGTAACAACATTAACAATTACAGCACCAGCAAGAACACCACCCCATCATCAATAACTACAATAACAACAACAATAATAATAATAATAATAAAAAGTCCTTTGTTTGCAATCGAAAAAGCAACCACTTACGCAACGCACCACTATCGGCAATAATGATAACGAAAATTAAGCATCGTAAGAGAGGCGTTAATATACAATTAGAACGCAGCCACTTACAAAGCGCTTCATTTTCGGAAATGGCTCCAAATACTATCACTACCATGAGCAGCAAAGCAACTGCCTTAGCGTCCTTCATGGTATTGCTTGCTCGATCTGAGCGCAAATCTCGTACTAGTAAACTACTTTCCAACTGAAAACCCACACTTTGCAATATGTACGCTTCTCAGTCTTAGTCACCCCTTTTATCCGATCTGTGAAAAGTACACAATAACATGTACATGTATCAACTGCATGCAGTGCTTTGATGAATAGCTACATTATTTGAATATAAAACATGGCCCGATGTAGCACCATTAATTTCAGACCTGTGGTCTGAGGGGTGAGTGACGAGAGAGGAGCCATGGTGAGAGATCTGAACCAACGCGCTGAGAATTAGGGACCATTCAGAGTGAGAAGAGCACAGTGCTGGCAAGGCCACGACCTACATATGGCGGACCTACTTGAAAGGAAGACCGCTTAATCCTGTAATGGTCATTCAGTGTAGTAAAAATATAGGTCCGTTCAATAACACTGAAGGTACATACTGTTACTTCCCCTTTCAGTTCGCTTTAATTTCCAACAATTATATTAAACATACTGGCTTCACTTTAACTTTTAAACAATTGTTACCGTCTAAGTATGTGGTTTATTACTCTGCAATCACTGACATGTATCGCAGCGTTAAAACATTCAAGTCACATCAGCAGCAATGCGTGTGTAGTAAATTACATGTTGACACACGCTGCTTAGCTTGTGTTCCTTGGTGACTATAATGTACTTTCTCTCATGTCACAATAAAGCACCATTAATTTCAGGCCTGTGACCTGAGGGGTGAATGACGAGAGTGGAGCCATGGCGAGAGATCTGAACCAATGCGCTGAGAATTACTTTATTATTCACGCGCATGATGATGCGACTTGGCAGTGTACACAAAGTAATATACTTGGTGTAGAAAAAAATTTAGGTCCGTTCAACAACCCTGAACGTACATACTGTAGCATCCCCTTTCATTTAGCTTTAATTTCCAACAATTTAACATGCTGGCTTCACTTAAACTTTTAAACATGGAATCCCAGGAGGGCCAAGTGAAAAAAAAATTAAATTGAAAAAAAAATCGATACCTCTGGCCAATCTTTGAGATTTTTCAGTGTGAACATTCATTTTGTTCTCGGGCTATCAAGCTTACATAACTTTCATCAACTGCTGAAGGCTGGATTCATACGCAGTGGTAACTCTGATCAGTCTCTCACCTGCTACTGTATGCTCACTACAGATAGCAGATTCCCATCAATCTCATCAACACTGTATAATTACACACTCATCTTGAGGAAGATAAACTCTGCTAAGGAAAACAGGAAAAAACACTGGATGTCTTTTTCTTGAATTGAACTAAGACGAAGCCTCGTAGGCCTACGTTGCAGCCACTCTGGGGATGACAGAATTGACTTCTTGGTTTTGTAGTCTTAGGGGACTTATTTCTGCTTTCCAGTACATATACTAGTTTTCGAATTTCTCATGCATTATTTTACATGCTGGCAATAGTTATTTTAGTATATAGCTGAACTGCTAAAGCATCTTCACCTAAAGCACCCCGCACACGGTAAGCAATTGGCGCGCGCCACTTGCGCTGAGCAAGATGCTCGGGCTCCTCAGCTCCCCGCAAACGCTGCGCTCTTTGCTAAGCAGAGGTGCCTCCCGGCCTGCCCCTAGCGGACGCACTGTGAACTGTGGGATCATGTGTTTAAGGAAACATTACATATTGTTGTTTTTTTCTGATAGTAATGGATAATGGTGACCACGTTAATCAATCAGACTAACTATAACTGTGTACATTTTTGTTGACTTCGCTGGGGGCTGCCATTTTTGTTTGTTTCCGGCTACTGGCACATGCGCATTGTTAGCATGGCGTGAGCAATCGGCGCTTGCACCCCGCACACGCTGAGACATTTGCCTCAAGAGACCAAAAAAATCAAACACGTGAGAAATTTTGCTCAGCCGCGCATGAGGCAAAAATCTCACCAAAATACCCCAGCACACGATGAGAAAACGGCGCAGCGCAAGTGGCGCGCGCCAAATGCTCACCGTGTGCGGGCCCCTTATATGATGCTAATGGCATAACTCTTTGGGAGTGTAAAGATAACGGTTAATTGATATATGCAACAATTGATTAACTAAATGCAGCTGTTTTGTTGATTGCAAAAATCGTGAAAGTCACTTTCCTATGCATTGTTTATAATTACATGTATATTTAACGCTAAAGGTCACAAGAGAGGATGCATTAATTTAGCTGCTCCAACTCACCGCATTGACTGNTTTTGGGTCTTTTTAACTTTTTTTATTGTCAAACAAAAGGCAAAAAATTGCGATTTTTTTTTTTTTTCCCCCCCAAAACCCCGGGGGGGGGGGGGCCCCCCCCCCCCCCCCCCGAGGCTACGGCCCTGATTACATATTGTTGTTTTTTCTGATAGTAATGGATAATGGTGACCACGTTAATCAATCAGACTAACTATAACTGTGTACATTTTTGTTGACTTCGCTGGGGGCTGCCATTTTTGTTTGTTTCCGGCTACTGGCACATGCGCATTGTTAGCATGATGTGAGCAATTGGCGCTTGCACCCCACACACGCTGAGACATTTGCCTCAAGAGACAAAAAAAATCAAACACGTGAGAAATTTTGCTCAGCCGCGCGTGAGGCAAAAATCTCACCAAAATACCCCAGCACACGATGAGAAAACGGCGCAGCGCAAGTGGCGCGCGCCAAATGCTCGCCGTGTGCGGGCCCCTTAATATGCTATACTATTTAAGTGATGCATTGAGTTTGTGCAAGTTTTCTTATTAAAAAAATCTTAGCCAAATCAATCTCTCAGTGGAAAGACATTTAATATATTTCTGTTGTTTTAAAACTGAATTGAATAATTCATCAGATATTGGCAGCAATGGTAGATGAGACATGAGCTAATGAAATGAATAGGGCTGACTCGGCTTGATTGTAAACACGCCTTAGAAGCACCAATGTTTGATCATTTCTGAACCCGCTGTGACACATTTCCCAGTTAAGTGCTTGCAAACTATTGACCTGAATTTTTAATCTCACCCCGAGATTCAGAGCTTTGGCAGTAACTTTCATACTGACATATGTAGAGAAAGGCCAGTTTCCAGTGCAGAAACTAAGGGTAATAAAGTTTGGCCTATAAACGTGCTGCCAGGTTCAGTGTTTATATTGGTTGTAGGAGGTCAGTACGAGGGCTGACTTCTAGGGATATAAAATGCCCTGGGCTTAATTGTAGATAAAAGATCAAATACAGATATTTGGTCAAATGTAGTTTTAAGGGGCTGGTGTGACTGTGTAGGGGGGGGGGGGGGAGTAAAATTTCAGCTATTTTGCAGGAATAAATAATTATCAAGTTTTAGTAACGTAGTTATAGAATACTGATTTATCGTTAGGTTATAGTCATTGTCAAATTGAAAATGAAAGTTTACATTACAAAGGTTACCAGGATATGGATTCTGGTACAGATGTCCTTGTTTTAAAAATATATTCCCATATTTACTGCACAGCTAATTGAGTTGACACTACCTCATGCAACTTCTATTTTCTATTTATTTATCACATGTCATTTGAATTTTATTGTGCATACATTGCCAATTGGGCTATCAAAAAGGTCCTGTGATCCCTAATCCATACAATACTTGTTTACTGAATTATTTTACAATTTTGTTACAATTTATTGACAAAAATTGCAGCTGTTATCCACTCATTGTGAGTTTCCCAGTGCAGCATTATGCTATATTATAACCTGGTCACAGCTGCTTTACTCACGGAGTATCTGATGCGTGGACCTATATTTATCTGCAACTTGTTTACTACCAGAATTAGGCTGATTGTAAAGTGTAAATCCAAGATAACCCAGAATATTAGAGTACTTCTCAAATCTATAAATAATGCCACTTTGTTCCGTCTAGGGGGAATTATTTTTGCAATTTATGATTAGTTTCTCAGAATGTTGAATAAGAAAATGAGTGTATGTTTTATTTTCGTGTCATTCAAACTGCTGTAATTTAGTTTGGCAAATATAAACTGATAGGTCATTTCTCTAAACAAACTTTGACCTGAAATACTTGTAGTTCAGTTAAAAGCAGTGTACTGTATAAAATACTGTACACAATTTAAAAAAAAAATTGAAAATGTGTCATAGCATTCATCTTTTAATTGAGAGATATAAAAAAATGTAGCTTCTTTTTTTCACACATTTCAGCTTGAGAGAAATGTAGAAAAAGTAAATTAAACAGTATTGTCCTCACCTTGAGAGAGTATCAGCAGTGTCATCGTAATCCTGTAAATAAAATGAAATGTGCAACCTGGTTTCTTATCAAGACAGGTTATTAAAACTGGTTTTGTAAAGTGGAGGCCTTGGAATGGTTTTCTTGGTCTCCTGTCCTTGACTTAAAGCATATCGCTGCTGCATCCTCCCACATTCTAGAAGGGACATCTTGGCGCAAAAATCATGATTCTGTGTCACCTGTGGCTGCTACATCAATGTATCACAGTTACCCCATTGATTGACACTGACAGATTCTGAATTTTACTAATTTAGGTGGTACTTGGGGTGGGGCAAAAAGATAAAAAACATTTACCAGTTGAGGCACGACAAATATTATCAAGTAGATGAGGAGAATTTCATTGTTACAGTAACAATTATGGCATTGGGTTGAAAAAACTGCTTGGTTTTGTGTTGAACTGTGCCTTTTATACTGTTTTGGGGAAGAAGGAGAATTAAAATAAAAGGAGGGGTATGTCCAAAGCTTGGGGGGGGGGGGTGCATGCAGGCCAACCAAGTGCAATCTTGATTTGAATAATCCTTATGAAAATGCATTGTATGAACATGGCAGAATTATACACCAACAACATGCATAATTGCCATGTGTCCCTTGTGGAACTTTTTTTTTCAATTTCCAAAAATGTGGGCAACTGTTGGACAAAGGACATATTTCTAGGAGTTGTTTCTCTTTTCAACAAATAATTAACATGCACTTTATTATGATATGGTAACACCAGGTAGTCCTCTTCAAAATGGTTATAAAAAACTAAAAACATTTCTGCTTGTTGCCCATGTTTCCATTTTCAAGGTATCACCAAGAGCCTTGTACAGAAATAGGGTACATTTAATTGGTCTTTTCCTATATGTGCTCAGCATACATGTATCTACATCCTGCACCATGTGTTCATGTGAAGCTCTTGATTAAACCAGGAATGATCTTAAAGGGATAATAACTCTTTGTTTCGGCCAAAAAATGAATTTTCCTGGAGTAAACAACAATTTTCCCATACTTACCAATGGTTAATGAATCCATTTTTACATTCAAAGTTAGTCCCTGGTTTTTTTCTAAAAAGTTTGGTTTTTTGTTAAAATCANGGCACACCCCCCCCCCACCCCCCCCCCCCCCCAACCCCACACACACACACATACTGTACACACACACACACCCCTTTGGCATTATTTGGTTTGTCATGTTGTAAAGTCCTCATTAGATATCCCTCACTGTATGTTTAGTATCAGTTTCTACCATCTTTCCTGGAAATAGAGGTGATAGCTACAGTAGCTACTAGTAGCTATAGAGGTAAGTTTCCAGTGCCCTTTGAAATGCAGGGTGATCCAATGAATCTCTTAATAAACAACATCAGCTCTAGATCGATTAAACTACAAATATCCATAGATCACAACTGATCTCCAGGGTGTATTTATAGTCGAGTTCAAGTTCACGAAATGGTCATGTTACTAGCACGCTGTAGTTTTGGAATCTGGTGTTTTGAGTCCTAAATGCCTGGATTATGAACAGGAATCTACAGGTGCTAAAAATCAAAGTATATTGACCTGGTTTACTTTTCTCAAAAGAGTGGTGTACATTAAGAGTGAAGTAATGGTTATTTGCGGTGTTTTTATATCCCCATTTCAGTGAAAGTAGGTGGTAAACAACACCACGATAAAAAAAAAATGGTACCAGTCGTTGAACTAGTTTAAAAAATTGGGCCACCTTGGCAGATATGAGAGACCGCATATGGTTATTACCTGAATCCACATTTATTGTCTCTCCAAAAATGAGTGCACTAGAAGAGTTTTTTTTTTTTAATATTTTGGTTTAGTTGCTTTAATTTTCCACTTTAAGTTGAAAATAATTTGTGCTCCTTTGACATTAAGATTAACTTAGAGGATAATTCATGTAATACAAAAAAGTGTTCTTCACTTTTCTTCTGCCTCTGATACTTGTACAGACCTTTACAGCACCGCAGTCATATGATTAAATACATTGTATATGTCTACATACACTATATCACTCCTGGAAATAATATATTGTTAAGTCCCCATGACCATGCAAGGACTATATATTATAAAGGTGAAGTCTACTGAATCAGATATAATTGATCACAGGGTTTTCTGTGCTAATCCACTCCTTTTGATAGTACATATTACATAATGCACAAATTTTTTCTTCAATGGGGACACTTTTTGTGAGAAATGAAGCAAATAATCAGTACGCGTTAAGGTTGATGGGCACCTTATGATCTGGGTATACAAATGATAGCCTATTTTTGTTATATAACAACCATGCTCTCATCTCCTTATTCACTTGACCATCATGCTCTGAACATGAGCTGCATGTATGAGCTTCATCTGATTGGCTGAGGGCATTTGGGGAGAATATCACAATGGCCATAGTTTTATTTCAAAACTTGCATTACGTGCAGTGTTGATATGGCATAACTGTTGAGTAATTATTGAGATTGCCCCTTGGTTTAATTAACCAAGTTTTTAATGCAACAAGTTTAGCATTTTGGACTTTATAGGTTTCCAGAAGTGTTTTGAGGTTTCCTAAAAGACCTTCACTTAAATACATTTATTATTATTGATGATGTCATAAAAATGATTTACGTGTGTATGGCATCAATGCAGACGAAGAGTATAATAGCTTGTATAATGTCATATATAATGTACTTCTTATGTGAAAAGAATGAATGTGGTTAGTTGTAATTTTTGGAGCATTGAGCTTTTAATGTGTGACAAATGCTGTTATAGCTTCCAATTAAATAACAACCGAATAATAATAACGAAATATTTTTAAGATAACAATAAAAAAATCTTAAAAAAATGTGTTGCTCAAAAACAGTAATAAATTAACAATTTCATTGAATTCTGACACTTGAGTATTGCATACGTACATATTTATCTTAATCCTTACCTTGGTGGAATTTTCTATCATGTCAATTTACAAAATTAGAAATTAAGAAGTAACACGCTGCTTAAAAGTAAATTGTTCCTTTACGAAAATTAGTTTGAAGAAAGTGCAGCAAAAGGCAAATAATGATCAACTTTATTGATATTACTAATTAAAAATAGCAGCCCAGATTTTGTAATTGACTCTTGGCAAACATAGACCCTGGGTGCCCTACATGTACAAAACAAACACAGTTGGAAGCACCGGTCAGAACTATCTAATCTTTTGTTCAGCCAGCTGGTTTGTTTTATCTTTCCTCCTCCTCACGCTTTGATATGATATGATCAGGTCCCTGCACAAGTACTGGGGTACTGGCCTGCTTTAAGTTGGGTACTACAAGTGAGAACCCAGAGACAGATCAGAAGGGGTAGAAAGAGAGGAAAGAATTAAAATTTCAATCAAGATTACCATCATGCTTTTAAAATATTGTTCTTACATAAGAAAACAAGCTAATTGTTCTATTACATAAAATGTTTTGAAGCAGTTGGTTCCCACTGTCACATTATATATATATCATATAATATTTGGAATTTACTGTTGAATAGAGAGGCTGTACGTACTGGTATTTAAATCCGTATTTAGTGCTTATTTAACTTATTATTATTATTATTATTATTTCAATATGCAATAGAAAGGGAGGAGAAAGAAATGAGAAAGAGACAGACTGGGACAGGAAAACCAGCAAATAATTTGGTGTTCCACATCTTAGTGTTTTTACACAGTCATATCAATCACATGAGAAAATAAACCAATAAATTTTCAACTTGAGATCATTTTATTCAAAAACACAGATCTTGCACAAGATGAAATTAATATCTGCCAGACCACAATACTCTTTTATTATTTTTAGCAATAAATGTTACTAGTTGATACTACGTGTATATACTACTATAATGTAGTAATTCAAATTTATGCCCCTTGTAAACTCTGAACTCTTCAGATTTTGTTATAGTATGTACTAGTCCCTAAATATAAATATTTACTTTCGAAGGTCGGGCACTTTGCTGTTGCTTACTACCATCATAAAACATATCTGAAAAGAAACATACAACTCATATATGTACACAACTCACATATGATATAAAAAACAACTCTGTACTAAAAAACTTAACACTTCCTTGCTTTTGGCCTTGGAATTCAAATTTGTTTAAAATGTATTTTTACAGTGCACTTGCAATCTGCCGAAGATTTTGTCATAGCAACAAAAATAGCAAGACCTGCTTGCTTAAGTAATGTAACAAAACGGAGCCCATCAAAAAGTGCATAGTTCACCATTTATCAACTTCAAACCTAATATTGAGTCATAAACTGCTAGGTTTCTATCTTTTACATACATCTCCAGTCAAGGTACCATGGGATAAATGTAACGTGCACAAACTCTAAATACCTTACATGTTCCACACATGATACATCATTGTTTCACAATGCAATTTCAAGGTACTCACATAGAACTACATGTACCAGGACTTACTGACTTGTATTCAGTTATTTATACACTTTGCCCATGGCCAGTTTTAGTAGTTTTATAGTAAGTGCACTTTTCTGGAATAAATAATGAAATACCCAATCTCAATATTTTGGCAGCAAGGCCAAAGGTGGCATATTACATGCATCACAAGCACATGGAGTCATTTTACAAATACTTTGTAAATGATTTTAACCAGTAACTTGGCATTTAAATCCTTCCTTTTGTAAGGCATAAACAACGCCATCATAAACGTCTCTGGCAAATTTAGATGGCATCTTAAGTTTTGTATCTTTCTCAAAGTCCCGGTGTCCATGATGGTAAATGCTGTTTTCCTCAAGGTTCGTAGTGGCGGGGTTGTATACCCCTGTCTCAACCAAGATGGCGTCAATGCTCTCAACTGATTGGTCATGGAATTCCGCCTCCTCTGGGATCTTGCGGGAGTTGATAGGTATGGTTGTGCATGTCTCGGAGTTTCCGTTGTCTCGGAGACTTTTTATGTACCTGTCATAGAGATTAGCGCCAACTATGTCAACCTCTGGGTTGTCACTGAAATAAAGAATGGGATTCTGTGTAAGGGAAATTTTGCTTTTGATTTATTTTTTAAGCATTGGGGGGAAATAGTTTAAATTGAAATAAAGTATATTTTAGGATTGATTATCAATATTGCTCAAATATGTTTACTCAAAACATAATTCATTTGTTGTTAAAATTCATTGAAGTTGAAAAAAACTTAAGAAGGTGTTCCTGGTGCTTATTACACGTACTAAAAAAGTAACAATGTGCATCCCCCCTCCAGAAAAATTACAAAAAGATAAAATTGGATTCTTTATCTGTAACTTACCCAAAGAAATAAAGCTTTTTAATTGGTTTTGTAATTCCCATTCTGCGTGCCTGGTTGGTGAGACAGTGCTCTGCATAACGGAATGTGATCTCACTGGGTTTCCCCACCAGAGCGCTGTACTTGAGATCTCGACCTGTGATCTTCTGCAAGAGGACAAGATAAGACTTTGTTTATAAAAAAAATTCCCAACCGACTAGATACTGTTCGTACAATAAAAGGGGATTGCGACTGTACCCAGTATCTACAGAACTGTATGATTCACAGGGCATATATTAGGTATATGTTTTGTTTATTATCTATAATGTAATAAAGGCATACTAACTAGCACAGATAAACAACTTCCCAACATTATTTGCATGATAAGAAAAAAATTCAGGACAAATGCTTACCTTGTATAAGCTTTCCAGGCAGATAAGGAAAGAACCATTGCCAAACCTTGCAAAAAAAGGGTTACACATAAATATTTATGTAATGAGTTTATCAATAAACACAATTTTCTAAATGTTAATTATCTCTGGCTTGTTTTTTATTTTCAACAAGGGTAGTACTTGTGATTAAAAATTGTAATATGGGTGGATTTGGTATAAGTGAGTTGTGTATGGCAATGTGTCATGTGTGTCTATGTTTTGTTTAATTATGTTAGATAAAACAGTGTTGGACATGGCAGTGCAATAATTCATCAAGTCCATATGACAGCATATCATTTTTGGCAATGTGTTAGATGTGACAGTGTGTTAAGTGTGACAGTGTGTTAGATGTGACGATGTGCTAGATGTGACATGAGAATGTGTCATATAACTCACCTGGGCATACATGCCTCTGCCATGAACACCAAGTCCATGTTACATGCTAGGATAGGCAGGTGGTGGTCAGGGAACCCCTCTGGGGCAATCTTTGGGTAGCCATTGGTCAATAAGAGGTCAATTAGGAGCTGGAGGTTAGTCTCCCATCTGTTAGGCTCTCCAAATGTGACGATGGCTTCAACTCTGGGGAACTCTTTTTCTTTGTAACCATTTGTGGCCTGTTGAAAAGAAAAACATAAAATCATCATTAAATCATAATTCAATTATCAAAATTATATTATTATATAATCATGGTTTTTGACACAGGTCTGGAATTCAAATTTAGTGAATTATTTCCAAATTAAACTTACCACTTTGACCCTATTAGCATGATCCACCATATCCAGGAGTGGGAAATGTTCTTTTATATCCTCCATTGTACAAATATTGGTGAAACCAAGACTGTGGGCGAGTTAAGGAAATAACAGTGAGAGTATTGCTGAGAGTAGTAATAGTAGAAATATGAGACAGAATCTGCATTAGGCTACTACTGAAAATTATTGAGGTGAACTGTGACTTACGTAGTACAGGTAAAAATATGACTGATATATGACAAGTATCAGACACTGATTATGTAATTAAAGAAATAAAAATATGACACAGATTTTATTATCTAGATGAATAAAAATACCCCGTTATTTAACATTATTGCTGTGCAGTTTATTCACAATTTTTTTCAGGTTTAATTTGGTAAACAAATAGAACAAAAATGTAACAGCAAATGCCAGATAATGGTTGTTTTATGAAAATGCCCCACCTAAAAAAGTCCCAATATAAACACAGCTACAGTATATCAGCTTCCAGCTTACCTTGTCATCAAATAAATATTCCATACCTGTTTAAAACCAGGTCGACATAGCTCAGTAAACAAGTCTATCAATAATTAAAAGTGTGAGGCAGTAAATATAGCCTTATCTAGTGGGTGTCCTCACACTGGCAAAAATGACTATCTAGCTGACACTGGTGGCCAACATTAGTTTTCAAAATGCCTTGATTTATTGTCAAAAAAATTAATGAATAAATCAATACCAGAAAATAATTAGGATCTATGCAAAATAATGTGCATCCCTGTCAATACTGTCAACAAGCTGTTATTATCATACAGGTTACAGCCCAGCAAAAGGCTACCTCCACAAACCTGCATCCCATAGTGTGGCATGGACTCCCCCTCATTACTTAATTGACTGCTAGAGATACTATACTAGAACCGATCTTTAAAATCCTCCATTTGCTAACAACTTTTTTTTAACAGACCTATCAATAAAAAAAAACAGAATAGAACATTATTGACTAATTAAAGAGAAGCCTATGTTTTAAAGGCCCACGTACAGGTCTACTAATGCCTGTGTAAACATCCCTTTGACAGCACATCAAACATGCACTGAGGTTTACTAGAGTCGTGTCAAGAGGGACTGATGGGTGTCATTTGCGATAAAGTCTATTTACTTCTCGCTATGATAACAAAGACCATTCGGAAACTATGACTCTAAGTGAAACGAATAAAAATAGCACTATTGCTGAGCTTCACGGGGTTAATGCCAGGTTATTTAAAATATTTAATATGTTATAATGAGTTGGAGCAGTTACTGTAAATAGAATGGGAGATAATTGTCCTCAAGGTGACTTTTGGAAAACCCATCTTTTATCTTGGGGAGAGGTTTAAGTGAACAGATGATCTTTGCCATGCAATGGCAATGTTGAATTTCTGATTAGTTAGCAAGGTTTTTATGGCAACACTTGAGGACAAACCAATATACACATTTCTACAGGCTAAATTAAAATTCACACCCAATATACTCAAATATTTCTTCATGTTTATCAAGAAATTGAAAGGATACTCTTGGGCCATCTCCTGCAAAGGTCCCTGACCGATGACCAGCACATGTTTGTCATGATATTTATTGAACACTGCCAATGGGCTCTGCGCATGCATTACCTGTTCTGGTAGCACCTGAAAATAGACAGGAAACCAACAATCAGTAAATTAATCAATCAAATAGAAAANAGGATAGGCAGGTGGTGGTCAGGGAACCCCTCTGGGGCAATCTTTGGGTAGCCATTGGTCAATAAGAGGTCAATTAGGAGCTGGAGGTTAGTCTCCCATCTGTTAGGCTCTCCAAATGTGACGATGGCTTCAACTCTGGGGAACTCTTTTTCTTTGTAACCATTTGTGGCCTGTTGAAAAGAAAAACATAAAATCATCATTAAATCATAATTCAATTATCAAAATTATATTATTATATAATCATGGTTTTTGACACAGGTCTGGAATTCAAATTTAGTGAATTATTTCCAAATTAAACTTACCACTTTGACCCTATTAGCATGATCCACCATATCCAGGAGTGGGAAATGTTCTTTTATATCCTCCATTGTACAAATATTGGTGAAACCAAGACTGTGGGCGAGTTAAGGAAATAACAGTGAGAGTATTGCTGAGAGTAGTAATAGTAGAAATATGAGACAGAATCTGCATTAGGCTACTACTGAAAATTATTGAGGTGAACTGTGACTTACGTAGTACAGGTAAAAATATGACTGATATATGACAAGTATCAGACACTGATTATGTAATTAAAGAAATAAAAATATGACACAGATTTTATTATCTAGATGAATAAAAATACCCCGTTATTTAACATTATTGCTGTGCAGTTTATTCACAATTTTTTTCAGGTTTAATTTGGTAAACAAATAGAACAAAAATGTAACAGCAAATGCCAGATAATGGTTGTTTTATGAAAATGCCCCACCTAAAAAAGTCCCAATATAAACACAGCTACAGTATATCAGCTTCCAGCTTACCTTGTCATCAAATAAATATTCCATACCTGTTTAAAACCAGGTCGACATAGCTCAGTAAACAAGTCTATCAATAATTAAAAGTGTGAGGCAGTAAATATAGCCTTATCTAGTGGGTGTCCTCACACTGGCAAAAATGACTATCTAGCTGACACTGGTGGCCAACATTAGTTTTCAAAATGCCTTGATTTATTGTCAAAAAAATTAATGAATAAATCAATACCAGAAAATAATTAGGATCTATGCAAAATAATGTGCATCCCTGTCAATACTGTCAACAAGCTGTTATTATCATACAGGTTACAGCCCAGCAAAAGGCTACCTCCACAAACCTGCATCCCATAGTGTGGCATGGACTCCCCCTCATTACTTAATTGACTGCTAGAGATACTATACTAGAACCGATCTTTAAAATCCTCCATTTGCTAACAACTTTTTTTTAACAGACCTATCAATAAAAAAAAACAGAATAGAACATTATTGACTAATTAAAGAGAAGCCTATGTTTTAAAGGCCCACGTACAGGTCTACTAATGCCTGTGTAAACATCCCTTTCACAGCACATCAAACATGCACTGAGGTTTACTAGAGTCGTGTCAAGAGGGACTGATGGGTGTCATTTGCGATAAAGTCTATTTACTTCTCGATATGATAACAAAGACCATTCGGAAACTATGACTCTAAGTGAAACGAATAAAAATAGCACTATTGCTGAGCTTCACGGGGTTAATGCCAGGTTATTTAAAATATTTAATATGTTATAATGAGTTGGAGCAGTTACTGTAAATAGAATGGGAGATAATTGTCCTCAAGGTGACTTTTGGAAAACCCATCTTTTATCTTGGGGAGAGGTTTAAGTGAACAGATGATCTTTGCCATGCAATGGCAATGTTGAATTTCTGATTAGTTAGCAAGGTTTTTATGGCAACACTTGAGGACAAACCAATATACACATTTCTACAGGCTAAATTAAAATTCACACCCAATATACTCAAATATTTCTTCATGTTTATCAAGAAATTGAAAGGATACTCTTGGGCCATCTCCTGCAAAGGTCCCTGACCGATGACCAGCACATGTTTGTCATGATATTTATTGAACACTGCCAATGGGCTCTGCGCATGCATTACCTGTTCTGGTAGCACCTGAAAATAGACAGGAAACCAACAATCAGTAAATTAATCAATCAAATAGAAAATATTTTAGTGGAGAGCTAATTAGTAGGTCAATCTTTTGATGGACCTTTTGATGTACTGAAAAAATCAACCAGTTTTCCAATCATTCAGCCAATCAACCATTTCATCAATCAATATAATATTTATAGGCAGTTACTAGTTCTGGAATACTGGCAGACAAACAGCATCAAAGAAATAACTCTGTAATGTGGTCCCTTTACTCAATACAAGAACCACTTAATGACTTTTGTTCTTAAGTCTATTAAATGATTTAAGAAGCTATAATAATAATAATATGTGAATGGTCCAAAAATGTTTAAAACTCCACTTATAGTGCTATTAATTTTAAAGTTATGAGAAAAGCCCTTTTACTCCAATTATATTTACCTCAATTCCCAGCCATTCTGAGATCAATTTGGCCTTCTTGCTGCTGGGGCTGCAGGCATTGGTGACAAATGCGATAGGAACCTTCATGGCACCGTTCTCATCCTGAAGGAGCCGGATCATCTTCTTGGAGGCGTCCAGGCAGTAACTCCCCCTGCCGATAACACCGTCAACATCAAACAACATCCCAAAGTCAACCTGTAAGAAGATGGAAATACCGTTCGCACTCAAGCATGTCTTTTTCCTATTATCGATTGTTTTTTTCTTATTTTTCATTAATTCATTCATGCTTTAAACACATGAAAAAAACACAAGAAACACAAGAAAAAAAGAGTTTCGGGGAGCGAGAAGGACTAAACGTTTTTTTTTTTTTTTTTTTTTTTGTGATAATCAAATCGAAATATGGTTTTATTATACTACTTTCTAAGTCTCCAGATTGTCCCACCAAGTTATTTTGATTCATTATCACAACAGCAGTTGTTTTGAGTCCTGTCATGAAAAAAAAGTTCCATAGTGCAAGTTCAACTCCCTCGCCTTTTTCGCCCACAGCAGGTTCCCTTTCAAGTCGCTTTTATAAGTCTGGGATATTTGCCTAGTAATTATAGTAATTTTTGAAAGATCTTCAGGAGAATTTTGTTTTTATTTAGCTTTTGTTTTTATTTTGTTTTTTATGAATCTTTTGAAATAACCTGCCTTTCTATGTAGGTTTTGAAATAGTAACTTTCTCCGTCAATGAAATACCAGCCATATCCATTATCCTAATAATAGCTAATTAATGCTAGGTATGTTACGCGTTCTAAATGTTAACATGTTGGCATAAAAAAAAACTCTTACCAAACATACATGATATAATTTTAATTGATGCTAAGGTCCCGTAGTTCGTTCCTGCATTCCAGTTAAAAAAAAAAACACCATGTTTTGGGCTTAGACATAGTTTCCCTTTACCTTTGTAGCCTAAATTGGAAAAAAAAGTGCTGGTTTGGGGCCCATGTGAGTCAATTAATCTAACATGCCCTTTAAGTGAGCCGGGCCCCGACATGAGCGTTTGATTGCTGAAAATGTGTCATCGTCCTGGAAACCGTACTTTTGTTGGCACCTTGCCCGGCATACAGATGCAGTTTATTTGGCCCCTTTTTGACTTCCTCTACAAATGGTGAGAATGCGGACATCCATGCAAGGAATTTGCACGGAATATGTTGTCGGGAAATGTCCGTGAAAACGAACACTTGTCCTGGCAACTTTGTATGTATGTTACCTAGTATCAGATAAAACTGAAAGCATCTCTAGCGACTTATTTATGGTATTATGGTTCCCCACATTACAGAAGCTCAAGCAGATTTTAAAACAAATATAACCCTAAATAGGCTCTGCACTTGATTTTCCCTCTGAAATCATGGGTGTTCCAACAATGTGGGTAATGCTTCGATCAGAAGCATCACCCCCAAACTGGTATCTCCTTCTTTTTGCGGCCTGCATTTTAACACGTACGAGTAATCCTGAGCCGTTCAAAAAACAACAATTTTTAAGTTAAAAGCATGAAATAAAGAGTGAAAATTGATGAGAAATGACAGACAAAGCCAATCGGCTTTAGAATGTCAAAATTCCGAGTGCTGACAAAAAAGAGACCATACAGAAACGCAACGCGGCACAACAACTGCGACTGGTGTCTCGGGTACTTTTAACATTTTTTCATTGTACGTGTCCTGAAAATGACCCAATTTGTAAATAAGGTCCAAAGTTCATATCATTGTTGAACTTTAAAAAAATTCTCACAGAGTAATTATTTTTTGTTCACAATTTCCCTTGCTTTTTGTTCTACCACGCTCTACAGTGTATATACCCCATATGGAAATAATCATCCAATTTAAATAGATTTAACACAGCAAACTGACCAATGTCGTTTATTAAACCAGTCAGTCAGCACCTTGACACGGCGGGTTATTGTTTGTTATATTTTGTCCAAGGCCAAAAAAAACACAATTATGGTGTATTGCACGCACTATGTACGTCATAGGAAATGAAACAGGTTTCAGAAAGAAAAAAAACCTATTTAACCCTTAAAATACCTTTAAGTGCTCAGAACCTTTCGTGTTTCTTAAACTTTCTTACTACAATGGCAGTATTTTAACGCCAAGGCAACAACTCATCGCAGTGTTATTTTTAAGTGCAAGTGGTTGCGGACCGTAACCTGGGCACGCGCCTTTGTTTACATCTGCATAGCGCCATCTGGCGGCTTCGAGTAAAATTTACGCGTGCGGTGGTCCTTGTGCGCTTTTCTCTATTCTGCAGAACAATGTCAGATTGTCGCCTTTTCTTTGTACCATTAAGACCTATTCACGCTTGTTATCGTTGCGGAATTCTCAAGTATTAGAGTGCCATCCGATCCATCATCAAATTCACGTACAGTTCACGTGAAACGCTTTTCAATCGATGTTCTTAATGAGCAAGGAGCAAAGTCCAACGGTTTCGCTACTCGAGATGCATTTTTACTCTGTTACTACCCCGAGAATAGAACGCACCCTGAGAACGGCAATTAAACCATATTTAAAATTATACGATTCATTCCTTGCTTAAGTTATGTTATCAGTGCAAGTGCAAACGTCGATTGTTTGTCTCTGGACATAGGCCTACTTCGGAAATAGATAAAAGACATAAAACTTGCAGCCCAGAATAACATACTTATTTGCCTACAAAATGTGGAAAATTCTTTTCCGATAGCCGACCATGAAAATTTTCTTTTTCAGAGCTGGAGGAGTAAGTCTTGATTTTTCACATACTTAACTTGCAGTGTAAACTCTATTCTAAAATAATATAAATAGTAATAACAGTCTCAATTAGTTGTCAGTTTTTGCTGATCGGATTTTTAAAGAAAATTCTAAGTTTCACCTGTTCTTCAACTTCATCGAAGATTTCTGGGCCTTGGACGTTCTCCGTCTCGCTGTCGACGCTCATACAAGAGTCGCCGCTCGAATGTCGCTGGGGTCTCATGCTGCTTCAAATAGTATCAGATACAAGCAACCAGCATACAATATCGACTATGACTACAACAAAGAAACTCACTGCGTTTGATAAAGTACGCTTGTGAGCTACCGCAGCACACAGAGAGGCAAAGAGATATTCTGGTTTGTGTGGCAACCTGCAGGGGTTTTTATACCATGAGAACAGCGTACGTAGAATGTAAACAGAGTAGTACACGTGGTCTCGCTCGTTTCGGAAAATCCAGGGCATGTCACTGACCCGGGGAACTGGGTTATCTTAGGAGTCCGCAAATTAATGTGATACCGGGCCTGGGTACGTGGAGTTCCTATGACGCACACGACGTGGTCCCCCACCACCCGAGCACCGCCCAAAATATCTGTCACTACTTTAAAAAAACCGGCAATATTTAAAAACAAACATGTTGTTTTGAACTTTACTTGAGATGCTTTTGATTTATATTGACAGAAGGGAACATGTCAAAAAAGAACGCGATAACGGGAGTATGTTGTGAGATCAACGCATTACGCGGTGATATCAATGTCGTGCTTGTTTTTTGTCCTTCACACAGAAAGGTCATTCCATTTATCACGTTCGCTGATTAAAACAGAGAAATGACGATATTTTCGTCAATTTTCAAGGTCAACAATCAACTCTGAATTCCAAAACATCAATTTCATTAAACGCTACTTGTCCAACAATTTAGTCTTGGCTAATCAGCATATTTGCTTGTTCAAATGTTTTGAAACTATTTCCTATTTTGCAACCTGTTTGTCATTTGGGCGTTTTTGGTTCTCCTTGGCCGAGTTTCATTTGCATGTTGACAAGATATTGAACAAAAAAACAAAGACACACTGTAATTTAGCATAGCAGCAGGTATCAAAACTTTGAAAAAAAAAACAATTTTTAAATTGTATATCATATTTGCCCTTTGCTTCCTTTTCATTTAAGCATAACGCACGATTTGAAGAAATAAACAGCCCGATTATAAATTTAAAAAATAAAAGCATCGATCGCCACCTGCGTATTTAGTTGAAAGGGAGGGGCGTTCATGGCAGTACCAAAATGACAAAAAAGGGAGAAACAAAAGAAAAACTCTACTGGAGTAATAATTATTAGTTTATAGACCAGCACTGATAATCAAATACAATGTTATATCGAACCTTCGATTTTCGTGTTATAGGTGATATCCTAGTATCCCATCTAAGTATAGCGTGCACCTAAAAGTGCGGGCACTATCACTAATTGACACTTCACCTTAATAATCCAGGTGTGACCTAATTACTGAGGCAATAAACATGCTGTACACGTGGTCGCCTCGCTTGTTTTTGTTCGAGAACGCTGTCCTTAACCTGAACATGTCTCCCTGCCACGGAGGGTTTATTTTTGTTCTGGCACGACAAGGTGCAATATTTACATTACCGCGTCCTTCGACCTCTAGCTGTGACAGTGCTATGCCAAGGACACACACACACACACAAACACACACACCTTGCACTCTCTCTCTGTCTCTCTCTTTTCACACACACATACACACACATACACACACACACTCTCTTTCTCTTTCACACACACACTCACACACGCGCGCGCGCGAGTAACACCAACACATACAGAGAGAGAAAGAGAGAGAGTTTACAAAAGTAGGATATTGCTTAAAGCTAAGGGGTACCTATGGACAATCGCACAATACAGAAGAAACATAAAGTTGTTTTTGGTATGTTCCACAGTTAAATTTGAAAAAAGGGAAAAAAGGGTCAAAATCACGACTGTTGTCTTGGAAGGCCCACTATCACATAATTTCGCACACCAAAGCAGGTAGAGGTTCCGTGGAGTTCGAGAAGTAGAACGACGCTTGCTTTTTCTATTTTTATGAGGGCAGTTTTTCAGGTGCATTGATAACAGAATGCGTTTTCAGTTCCTTGTATCTATGTAAGATACATAATGAGGTACATGATGAGGTCAATACCATTTGGGGTATAGGAAAAGTGAAAAACCATTGGCTCTGTTCTGAGCGAAAATGTAATGAACATTGCTCGTTCCGCAAGCGGAACAATCCTTTTATTTTATAGAAAGTCGTTCATAAAGGTTTTACGAGGTGGTTTATTGCTAGATTCCACCGCCTTGGTCAATATTTTACTAGATGATTATGTAAAACGTGACATCATTTTTTTACCTGATAACCCATCGATCAGTTGATCTGGGAAAATGATGACACGATTTTATTTGTTTTCTTGTTTTCATGACGTGACTAAAACCTACCCTCTGCCAGGGTCTCAGTTATTATTGTGGACATTTTTTGCTGAATCGACATTAGACCAAAATGACTGTCTATTTATCTAGAGACCTATCTGTGAATATCTGTGAAAAATCAATCTGTCGCCCTGGTAGAGGGTAACTAAAACCCAGGAAATACTTAGAAATTCCAACCCCGGCATTTCAGGTGTTTTTTCGGTATACATTCTAAGTTCCGTAGACCACAACAATTAAGGAATTCGGTCAAATTCCTAATATGTTACCTAATCACTTATCGGCTGTGTTAGTCATAGAAATTATAAAGGCCATGTCACCTGGCAACCTATTGCTACCACTCTTACAAAGAATTGATCACGGCTGATGCATGTGATGCACATTTGGAAGGATCACGCCAGTACGATTTCAAACCCAGGTAGCGATGATGCTTGGACGTCTTTGTATTGCCATTGCCTTTGCTGGAATGGAAGTACTAGGAATGGGAGTCCGGGCTCCCATATGATAAGTACAGGACTTGGGGTTAGTTAGAGTATTGGGGTTAGTATATAGGACGAATGTCACCCGTACAAAGTAATGGGAAGCGGACTACGGTTCCTAGCGGACTTCCATTTATGATACATCTGTTACTATTCACTTTGTATTTCCAGGTGTTTTTGTATTTTTGATGATTGGATAAACAGTGCATTTCATCTGAGTAGTATGCCAACATGTATTGAAGTGTGGTATTTTTTTAATAAAAGGCATGAAGGCAAAGTTTAAAGTTCAGTATGAAGCATCCTTGTTTTTTTTTATCATACAAGCCGTCTCTCTCTCTCTCTCAGAAATAAGAAATATTTGCCAAAAGTAGAAACCTAAATTATATCCATGTTTTGTAGGTTACATGTACCTACACTAGGGTAAATCATTCATTTATCTGTCGAGAGATCATGGATCATTATAGTAATCCCTCTATCAATATAATCTTATCGCTAAATTCTCTCGATATGAAAGCTTACTTCTCTTCGGCATGTATTCAAAAAGTTTCAATAATTTATCATCAGGGCGCTCTGAAATTATTTTTATAATCTTAATAAATGTGTAACAGAACTATGGAAATGAGTTTTGTTATTGCTGTAATTATTATTATTATTATTATCAGACGCTACTTCCCTCCAGTATGCATTCAAAACGTTAAAAAATTATCATCAAGGCAATTTACTGTATTTTCTATAATCTTGAAATATTTTTAGTATTATAGCCATGTGAACCTCAGTTTTGCTCTTTGTCTTCTATTCAGTTCTGATTGAAAGGCGTTAGAAAATCGTCTGAGGGGGGAAGATCACGCTCCCGTACTCGCTGTCACGGCCATATTTAGGTTTGACCCTAGGCATGATTTTTATGATATTTTCTATAAAGAATACATGCGTTTCATATTCTTTGACAAAACTCACACCTTGACTGAGGCCAACAAAATCAACTATCTGGACTCACTTTTATATTAAACACCACTTGCTTTTACCTTTACAATCAGAAACAGCATCATGGGATCAGTTAGGAAAAAAAGATTGAGGTCTCGGTAAGGACAAGAAGTTATATAGAGTTATATAGTTATATATCTTTATAACTTCTTGGTCAGGACGACGGCCTATGAACAAAAACTGGTCCTTTTGCAGTATTTCCCCCTACCCTGCAGCTCTCTCATTTTTAATGTTTATCAAAAATCAAGTTATGTAGTGAGTTTGATCAATGTATTTGCCATTTAAATAAATTAGTTTTGAAATTCGCTAACCAATTTTTTAAAATCTTATTTAACCTTCAAACTTTTTGAATAGTGAGAGTAAAGCAACTTTTTATCCCTAGCGATGGTGTCGGCTCTCGTAATATTTGAATGGCATAAAGTTTCATGCCAAAAATAGTGGAACTGGTAAATGGTTTGCAAAAGTTATTTATTTCAATGACGGAGGCATTGATCAAAACCACCACACACAACTTTATTTAGAAATTATATAATAGAATGTTGGGTTGGGGAAAATACAAGAAAAGTGCCCCAAAACTTTCTGAAAAATGCTTTAGAAAACAAAAATGTTGAATAGGTTAAAATGTGAAGTTAACATATCCATACTCCATTAAAATTGAGATAGCATTCGACCATTCAAACAAACCATGACGCATTATTAGTCATAATCTTCTTGACCGACTTCTGCTATAAAAACCACTCGTAAGAGGTCTGAAATATCAAGTCGAGAATTACTTAACCGGCGAGCTCGTAACCCATCGATAACTGATAAGCTAGCATCACACTCCAACCACCTGTAATCGCATGCACCCCTAGTGGGTTGGCATTGAAAGGTCAATAAGATGCCAAAACTGACCGCTCGAGCGGCCGGTAGAACTTGGTAGAACCTGTGTATTATAAACCAAAACCCAGAGTGAAAACAAAGGTTACGATGCATGTAAAACAAACGTGACTGGTCCTTTTTAATTATTACTTCGTGGATTAAGAATGAATTATTGGGGATTGTCAACCCTTTTCAACCATCCCAACCCTCTCTATACCCGTCTATATCCAGCTGTAGGCCCGTTAGCGTACTAGAACACGCCTGATATCACGCTACTAGCCACGGCCGTGACGTACCCCACTCCTCTCCCTTTCTTCAAACCCAAGGCTTCGTCTGTTATATGATGACTGTCACATTACTTTTCCCGACCCTCTGCATTCATTTTTGTCTATATTAAACATCAATGCAAAGCATTAACTTGAACATTTTGGAAATATCAAAGAAAAACATTGACTACTTTATTTTTAAAATCGAACTGTTAAATATTGGGAAATTGGGAAGTGAATACAAATATCACAATTTCGCGCGTGTTTTTGCCGAGTTAAAATGATTTCGAAATCTCCAGGTTATTTTACTTCAATGACAGTTCCAGATATTTCAGGTTGGGCGTCCTACCGAGGAATGTGAAAATGCAGACGACACTACCGTTTTAGCTGACATTGTCACCTACCCTTGTAAAAACCACCTACAAGCATACGTAGTTGATGGTATTCGAAACGCCAGTAACAGAAATGAAACTTTTTCAATTTGCGACAAAATAGAGAGATCGGCCGAAAAGGTTTTGAATGTTAGCGCTTGATCTTCAGCTTACACTTTTTTAGCTCAATTTAAATCATTTATTAAATAATTAGGATACAGTACCTGACATTATTTAAAAGCAATTGTATGAAGTAAACTTTGAAAATACCTTTTAATTAGTTGTAAGAGAATATAACATAAACACGAATAAAAAATGTGCCATTCAAAAAGAGTAAAAAAATTAGGGTGGAGCAGAATTCACACGGTAATAACTGATAGCAAGAACCAAAACTACATATCTGTTTATATATCTTAATGATGAAAATAATTAAACCAATGAAACGGATCGCCCACACTGTATTTGACATAAAAAATAAATATATAGTAAAATTACTATACCCTTACCTCATCGTGGTCGTCGAAATCGAAGCAATGTGTATATCCATTCACATAATTTTCAGATTGCGTGTTTTCCATGGCGCTTTAAAAAGAAAAAACATCAGCGTCCAATCAGGCGGGGATTAAATACAGCTCACAGTTGTCGCCTACCGCACAAATTGGGTCTCCAGTGCAAGTATGTCAATCTGTGATAACGTTGGGTTGGAAATGACAGAAAGACCGAGTGTATAGGCTTCATATACTATTGTACAAGTCGGTGCTCGTACACCAAACGTTATCTGGGAGGCGGTCCTAGGGTCAGGCAGCCATTACTCTCACGCCGGACTCACATGCAAAGATTTCGGCCTTCGACAACCCTTTCTGTGTCAGTGTTGTATAACGATACTAGATGGAGAGCGAAAAAATTTTTTCAACATATTTGATGCATTGTCCTCCCCATTTCGCGAGCAGATTGTCCAAAGGCGTTCAAAAGGATCGATAATTAGCAACACTAATCTTGACATCTCGCCAAAAGACATTCTGTTTTCGTATTGTAGCTTATGACAATAAGAGTACTCGGCTCCACTGGGGTCCTCTTTGCAATTTTGTGCGCTGCGCATCGTTAGTGATTGGAACAATACCACCGCGGTCTTTAAGGGCTTCACGGGCACTGAACGCCGCCACGTGCAGCATGTGTTGTCAGAATTAAGTTTGGAAATACGAAAGAATATTTCACATGCAATAAACCATACACAAGGGTATTTTATGGAGTGCTTTAAAGGTGATCACGGAAAATGAACGCGAGAAGAAAAGCGTTGTTCGATTGTGTTACGATGTGCCCGTCAAAACAATCTGTGTTCTACGGTGTGGAGCTTAGCACAATCATGATGCTGCATTCTATAATTGACGATGGTTCTATCTGTATGGAGTTGTAGCAAAGGGCAGAAGCACTCGCTTTACCTAACTTTCAATAAAATAGATAATAGACTGAGAAAGACAGGCGAATATTCTGGGTCTCTAAGTGCACTTAGTCACACATCCGCTGAACCTCATAAAAGACGCTACTTTACATTATGTAATCATCATTTATTATATGAGATATTGGACATAATAACGATAAATATGTCCAAGATGAGATTTAAGACAATAAGAAATACATTTTTTAATATATTGGCAGGTGCGTGACTTAAAGAATAGGGGCAAGGGGTGAGGGGTGGGCAAATAATCCTCCTTTCTTTCTCCCCCACACGCTGTAAATAATACATAGGCCTACATCATGGTGAAATGTTGGGTGTTTGGCTCGAAACCACTATCAAACCCTTTTGAGTCCGAAACTGATAGGCGGAATTCGCTTATTCTGGTTTTTTTTTTTTTTTTTTGGATTTTCAATTTTTAGCTTTTGTTTTCATAAAAAATAACGTAGATGAATGAATGCATGAATAAATAAAAAAATTAACAAATAAATTAATTACACAACATATTATAAAACGATTTTTTTTACTTAATATGTTGATAAATTTTATTATCGCGAGGCATTCTTCTGTCAAACACCTGTGATTTCAGTCATTCAGTGTATTGAATACTCCCACGGACCAATGTCATAACGCTTATCTAAGCTGGTTTCATATGATGATGAATCACCAGGTGTTACGGGAGCATAGGGCCTAAATTGCGTAAAAGAGTCTTTCGTTTATTTTCTAAGACATAGACCTACACCACAGTACACAAACCATATATACTGAGGATTACAAAACAAGAACTAAAATGGAAAACAGACAAGCGTGTTTTGTGTTCTCTTTTCCGAAAGAATAGGTAAGAACAGATTTACCAGTAGGCCTTAAAAAAACATTCGGTCGAAAAAAATAAATAACGTTATCTAGAAGCACCAGACGGGCGTCATTAAAATATAATGAAAATGTGAACAATTGCAAAATGGGTTTTAATCAGTTGAATTAAGTTGTGCAAGCAGAACATAATCAGAAGAACGATTTTTTAACGTTTATTCACTTATTAGATCTATTACGAAACTAATTTGACATAGCCATAAATTGAGCGCGTCTTGGAGACATCCGGGCTAGTAGCATCATGGCGGACAACATAACTGATGCTGAGCTGCGGAAAGAATTGCAAGAACTCGGTATGAAAAATGTTGGCCCTATAACAGCTTCGACACGCAGCATTTATCTGAAGAAACTCAATCACCTACGGGCAGCAGAAAGAAAGAAAAACGTTTCTGTAAAGGGAAGAAAAACGACCAAAAGCCAGCTTTCCACTTTCAGTTCTGACGAGGAAGAAGAAAAGGCCAGCGAGCCGCCTGCCTTGTCCAGAACTAAACGACCGACAAGACAGGCGCAGGGTAGAAATACGAGGACACAAAACGCAAGGCCTACTCCGGACCCACCCCAGAGACAAGAGCAGCTGTCGTATAGTCGTCCACCTCTGAGGAGCACCAGGCGTGCTGCAGACGAGGTCGAGGGTGTTTCAAGGGGAACCAGCAGTGTTGGTAATAAGAGAACTTCACTGGGACGGACGCTCAATGCAACTTACAGTTTTAATGACAGTAATAAGGATGACTTTAATTCCTCAGACTCTGACGATGTAGACATATATAAAGAGGAAGATGAAAGCACTCATGAAATAGGAACAAACACGTCACCCGCATTGGACTCAAGCGGTTGGAACAGCTCTTTCTCTCGGCCTTCCTCTTCAGTGGCTGGTTTTAGTGGTGGAACACCACGAACAAGCACCCCTGAGAAGCGCACAGATGTTAGTAACCGCAGCAGCAGCAGTGCTCCGAGGCCATTAACAAATAATAATATTAGAAACAGATACTCAGCTAGATACTCATTTGGGGGACAGAGAAATGCAGCCGCGGGAAGACAGCCGTGGAAAACGGGGTATCAAAGTTTGACAAATCTTTCACAGGATGAGACTCTCTCCGATGAGGAGGACATATTGCAGCAGGGGTTCAAAACCAGGGATGATGTGCCAGGGTACGGCAGATTTACAGCACACGTGTCTTATGTCCTGGTAGTTCTTGTTGGGATCTTCTTCATTTCTCTTGGTTTTATGTACTGGTGGGGAATGACAGCACCTGGAGACAAGGCAAAAAACAGTGGTAAGAACTGTCACAGTGTCCATGAAGTTTAAGGGGTGTCAGATCCCCTCTCCCATTTCTTTTAGCTCCCTATTTTTATTTTTTAATAATGATATTAATAATTATAATAATGATGATAATAGAAGTTGTAATAATATCAACAACAACAATCAGACATATTAATTATCAAACAGTGCTCACTAATAATACCACATAAAAAAAGTAAATTGAAGGAAATATTTGTCTTAGTTGTATGCAAGATAAAGCAACATCAGTTAGCACTTTATGGTGAGAATGATTTAGGGTTGCTATTATAAGATGATAAAAATGAAAAATATTAACAATTTTGCTTTCCAATTTCAGATAAGCTAATGATATGCGATGGAAGTGACAAATCAGCAGTACCAGTAAGTGTATTTAAACTGTTATTCAATTATATTTAAACATTTCAATATAATATGGCTAGAATATGCAATATAACCATGGGCAAGCTGTATGATTTTGTGTTTTAAAGAGTAATAAAATAATTGCTTAATAGACATCATGATTTGAGGTATGTTTAAATGTGCAGCATCGTTTCTTTGATGTTATAACCTGCATTTTAAAACTGCTGGAAAATCATCATCCCACTGTAAAATATAAATGTAAGCCCAGGTATGTAATTCTTTGCTTTGAAAGATTGACAGATAGGGTTGGCATGGCTTTTGAAACAGGAAATATTAGCCTGTGTTTAACTCAGTTTGGTTTACCACAAATGGTTTTGTAAATGACTCTATGTTACATTAGGGTTTTATGTAACAATTTACTGACTGCTTAGAACCAGCTTAATCTGATTTATGTTTCTAAAAATAAGACTGACAAGCTCAGTTTTGTAAGATAGCGCTTCAGTTATTTAATGATTTAATTTTTAATCTGTCCAAAATTCAGAAAGGTCAAGATAGGAAACTTATCTAATTTGGACTCAGCACTGAAAGTGCTTTAAAGAGTTTTACATACTAGGTGTGCTCAATGCTGTAAGAAATGTTCTTTGAATATCTCTGCACAATATCATATTCACATTTATTGCTCTAAAGTTTTGAAGTTTTTTTTAAAGCTCATGATAATTACTGCTTTTCTTTTCTGGTTATATACAGTAAGATAGGCATTTAGCCAGCATTTTTTTTTTTCATTTTGAAAAGTGGTCCTTTTTTATCCCTTAGTTGACACGAGTTGAAATATGATCTCCCCCCCCCCGTCTCCCCCTCCTTCAGCTACAGGCTTGTGCTAAGAAATTTTTTATCCTATATTTCAGCCATGTTACTTACCACAGGAGGTTGATAAGGCACTGGAAGCCATACATTTGTTAATGGAAGAATTGAATGATGCAGCAGGTAAGGCTTTCATTGACTTCCTAGTCATGTGGGGACTATTTCAACACACTCTAAAATCAGGACATGCAGAAGCTCAGCAGCACCTGGGCCTCATAATAGGCACATAATTGGGGGGTGGGTGGGGGGTGAGAAAGCCAAGATATCTACATGTTCTATGTACATGTCATTTGAGTGAACTTTGTATAAAAGAGAGAATGTCAGGATTGCCTGCATAGACAACACACTTTTGGCTTGGGAGTTCAACCCCCTTATTTTAGTCAGCTTAGAGAAAGCCAAGTTTGAAACTTTCTAAGTCAGGATTTTCCAGCCAAAACTCATATTTAATGAAATTTCAAGGGGTAAATGGCATTTTGCCCCGACCTACCAATCTACAATTATACCAGATATGCCACTCATTGCATGCCTCGACTTTGGATATCAGGAGACTCTCATGTCCTACGTGACCAGCATTATTTTCAAACTGTGTCAAAATGGCTACACCAAGGGGATGGTGAATATGATTATTTTTTGGGTCATTTATCTCTCAATTCATATTTTAAAAGTTAAAATTGTCCTCTTATAAGTTCAACAAAAAGCGATCTGTGCACTTAGAATGCATTCAGTATTCTGGATCATTTTAAGCTGTCTAGTTAAATTGCAGGAGGAAAAATTTGTGTAGGTTTCTTAAGACTGGAAATCTGACTAACTTGAGAAATTGGACAGTTAGAGAGATTATAGAGGAATTCAGATATTGGCAACAGTGAAGCCATAGCACTGAATCATATTGTAAAGAAGATTACCAGTCCATAGTTTTTTTTTTTCTAAATGTGGACAGAGACAAAGCAATGTAAAGTTTAAAATTGCATTTCAGTTTCATTTTTATTTTCGGTTTCAGTGGCTGAACTTTGTGGTTATAAGACAAAGTACACTGGAGGAGGACTGGATAAAGGTCAAGTGGAAGAAGTATTAAAAAATAAATATCAGGTATTGTGACTCACAAATTGAATTAAACCTTTTTGAAATCTGTTTTTACTGGTAAATCAATTTTTTTTCTTTTTTTTTTTTTGGTGATCATCTTGTCTGGCTTGTCATAGTGTCATAGTAGAATGTGATAAGCTTAATGTATTAAGGAAATGAATACCAAGATGCAAACATCTCATTCCTTAATTACTCCTAATTAACTGTTTTTTTTAAATTAAAAGTAAAATTGATCAGAATTTACAGAAAAATTAAGTTGAATTACATAATAATTTTAAAAATTAAAAATTTTAAAGTAGGAAAGTTTGACATTTGTTTGAAGTATCATATTGAAGAGAAAGATTAATAAATATCTGTTAAATATTCTAGGATGCTGAAAAGCAAATGTCAGTGGTAGTGGATTTGGTCAGAAAGAATCCCCACTGGGGTATAAGGTAATGAGAAGCTGTTTAAATGATGCAAAAAGCAAGATTTGTAAAATAAAATAAAGAAATTAGCTCTGGAGGTGCACAGCCACTGGTCAATACTGCACTGAGATACTTCGAAAACTGTGCTACATTGAAACCCCCTTCAACCCAGCAATACACAAAAATGAATCTAGACAACCATGTTTACTACATAAAAAAAGGAATGTCAAAAGATATTCTGAATTAATTAATAGATTAATAATAATAATAATAATAATAAAACACTAAAGTTTACTAGGAAATGGTTTTTCGAAACAAATACATAATGATCTTATTCTCAGTAAGATAGTGGCCGTATTGTTTTATTTACAGCATTGCTAATAGCGACAAGAAAACCCCTGCCGTCAGTGTCTATGGGGCTGTCTGGTTCACAGTGGACAGTCCGCACATGCCAGTTTGGTGTCGTGTGAAACGTGCTGTCATGCAAGTGTTCTATCAACTCCTCTTCGTGGCTGCAGGTGAGATCAGTGACGATAATTGAGAAACGGTAAAAATGATGTTTGTTGAAATGATGGAATATTTGTGAAATTGAATTTATGTTATGTAAGGGGATGTGTGTGTGTGCGTGTGTGCACGCACGCAAATGCAAGTGTAAATCCCTTCTCTTGTGTTAAAGTGATGGCAATAGTGGTTGATCTTGACCTCAGTTAAAGATTTTATCATATATTCTCTTTAAATACTAGAATGAAATTTTGGAACTAAGCACGTGATAAAATGAAAAAGATAAAAAAAAAGGATGACATACAGCCAGCAGGGTTTCAGCCATTTTGCCAAAGTTTCCTCATGCCTGCTCGAGCCATGTTTTCTGTATGCCTTAATGAATTACATTTTTTTAAATTTTTGATCTTTCATTTTAAATATGCAGGATTGCTGGTGTGTGGGGTTGTAGTGCTGGTGTTGAGATACAGACGCAGACATCAGGACGAGGAGACCAAGGAGGTGTACCACCTGGTGGAGAGAATTATAGGTAGGGAATCGGATCTTAAATTTTCTTTTGCCTCAGATTCATTAACTTTTTAGATACTCACAGATCTGACTCACAGATGTCACTGGGCTTTCTGTGGTGTCCCTAGTAGTCGATTGGTATCAAAGTTTAGTTTCATTTCTTTTGTTTGATTTTGCAGATATTATGAAGAGGCATAATGATGAGTGCCAAGTTAATAAGTCACTGGAGCCTTATCTTGCCATTCCACATGTTAGAGACATGCTGATCCCTCTTCAGCTCAGGTACGGGACTGTCATTGCTACTACTGCCCCCTATGGACAATAAAAAGATGCAGTTTCTTAAGTTTTTAATGTCAAAGTTTTGTGGGCCCGTTGGGTCACAACCTGGTAATATTGTAGCTTAGGCAGTTCAATTGAGGTGAGGTGTTATGAAGGTCGTACAAGGGATAATATCTAAATATGAAATTGGTACCAGATAAAATTTAAATCAAACTCGTAAAACATTGTTTTACTAAATCCTGAAACGTGTAACATGTCACCTATAAAATGCACTGACATGCCAAAAGCACTGAAAAATTGATTGAAAGAATAGACAAATAATTGAAATAATAATAATAATGATAATGATAATAATGATGCTGAATAATAATTATTATTATACTAAATACAGCAGCTGTATTATTTTCTTATTGTTTACAGGAGGAAGAAGCAAGGGGTGTGGGATAAATCAGTGAAATTTCTGGCAGCAAACGAATCTCGTATCCGGGAGGAAACGCAGCATGTGAAAGGAGAAGAGTTTGCTGTGTGGCGGTGGATAGGGGTGAGCATTTTTTTTTTTTTTTTTTGTTTTGTGTGTGTGTGTGTGTGTGTGTGTGTGTGTGTGTGTGTGTGTGTGTGTGTGTGTGTGTGTGTGTG